CGCCAACAGTTCTCAACTACGTAAGCCATTTTTCTAACTTTTTGTTAGTCCTTTTAGGGGGCGTTTGTTGCGCCGGACTATCTCGGACTGGATTAGCTTTAAGGACTAAGCTGGATTGGCTTAGACTAGACTAAATTGGACTAACTTAGTGAAGCATTTGGTGCAGTATTGGACTAAGAAGCTGGATAATAACAAATTCTAATATTTTATTATGATCTTATCTTTTTCTTCATCTTTTCCTACCATTTCCGTCCCACTCTTTTCCTCTTCTCTCATCGTCCCACCCTCTCCCTCTTTTCCTCTTAGACCCCTCAATTCATGTCTCTTTCTCATTCCTAGTCAAACTTCTTATTGATTCCAATCTCTATTTCTCTGTCCTCCCTCCCTCTCTAGCAATGCGTTGTTCGAATGGAACCTCACGACTCCAATTTTCCCAACGAGTTGCAGGTTTCCCGACGTGTTTTCCGGCCAACCCTCGTTAAATTGGATGAAGTTAGCACCGCCAAAAAATTCATCACCATCCCTAGACCGAGATCTTAGCTTTGAATGCTCGAATCTGTCATGGATTTGAAGAAGCCCAAATAGGTCGAGACTTCCAGGCCATTTTCCGGCCACATTCGACCACATTTTGGCCTCGATTCAGGTAAAATCGTAATCTTGTCACTCCCAGCTTCAACTTGGTATATTTTATATGAAAGTTGGTTGTGAAATGGATCTGAAAGAGAGTCGGAAAGTTAATGATTGATCTAGGTGACCGGAGATGATGAAGAGTCTGTCGGGAGTGGTCGTTGAGCATGACGAGGACAAGAAAGAGAGGATAGTCTTAGCTAGTCCCATGGTTATTGGGGGGTCTCGCTAAGACCTCTTAGTGAAGGGTTTTGTCCATGCTAGTCCCCTTTAGTCTCATTAATGTTAGTCCCAGCATGGAACAAACACAGTATTGGACTAATAGCTAGTCCAATCCAGTCTAGTCCAACTTAGTGAGGGCAAACAAACGCCCCCTTATTGTTCTGATCTTTAGCAAGAGGATCCTTTAACAAATCCAACTGTCATTTGTTCACATTAACTTCTATTTTTTCAATTTGTAACAAAGAAATGAAAACTTATGTAGAAAGAGGGAGAAACGAAGTGAAGAAGCAAACCCATTAGATTATGGAAGTTCAACGCTGCATATTGTTCCTTATTGTAAATCAGTTTGTGAATAGATTTCCACATATATATAAGTAGTATGGCTTATCATATATGGATTTAAAACTTTCTACATGTTTTATACAGTTTCAAAACCTGCAATACCGTGTGGGCATTCTTGCTAGTTGGTATCTAAGATGAATGTGAAAAGTAGAAACAAGATAGTTCCCATCACTTATCGATTATTCATTGGGTTTGAATTTTAATCAAATATATTTTTGAGTCAACCTTTCCAGTCTTTATTGGACGGGTCTCTTGATTTTTTGTTAACTGTAATGGTCTTGTAATCCTATTGTTTGTAAGTGTCAATAGCCTGTGAGCTAAATGTTAGCTTAGCTTGTAAGCAATATGGTTTGGATATATATCCTTATGGATCACTACCTTGTATTTTTTCTGAAACCATTAACAAAGATTCACTTTTTCTGTCTAAAATCTCTCTCTCTCTCTCTCTCTCTCTCTCTAAATCTTGCTCCCTCTCTCTTCTTGATTCTCTTTCTATCTCTGCAAGATTTATTCATTATGTTCTTCTGTTTAAACTACAAGGGAAAAAATAATTGATTTGGAGTGCAGATGGCTAAAAAATAAATCTAAAAAATGTCTATTCAAAATTTGATTTATGATTTGAAACATTATCTGAGGGCAACTATGTACCTTATAAACTGAGCCGAAACCACCTGTTCCAAGCTTGTTGTTGGAAGTGAAATTATTTGTGGCCTTAACTATGGTACTTAGTTCAAAGAATGGTAATTCAGAGTTTATTCCACTTTCATCAATATTTGTTCTAGCAGAAGAATCTTCCCAGGAGGTTGATGCTATGGTCACATTGAAAAATTTATCCTGACGTTTTTTACCTGTGATAAAAGTACATAAACAGATAATATTGTGTTCTTAAATAATTAAAACCAATATCCAGTTACATAATTGTGAATGATTAGAGGGCAACCTAGTAAAAGGAAATTTGTTTACCTTTTCTCTTCCTCTTTACCAACCAACATGCAAGGGAAAACACGAGGAAGAACAAAAGACCACATGCTACTGAAACTTCCAGCTTCCTCTTCTTGCCAAAAGAACTGTTTGACTTCTTTGCGTATTGAGCTGCAGATATACAAGCATTTATTTCCATGTTTAAAAAACCTTGTAAAAATTTGGGAAAAAAAAACATTGTAAAAAGCTCCAATGAACATAAGAACTAAATTTTTAGTATTAATTTATAGAAATTTCTGAATTTTTAATAAAAAAATTAGTACTCTAAAAAAGTCATCTTATACTCTTGACGAAACAATTTCACTTTTATTAGTTGGCAAGAAACTAGTGCCAAATGATTTTTTTTAGAATGATAATAAACGTACAACTACCAAACTAAATAATAATTCCTCAATTTTTTAATGAAATAAAGAAAGAAGATTTCTTTTTCATGGAACCTCGGCTTTACGAGGACAATTATTGACAAGGAAAAGAGAAGCAAGAAGATCAATTGATAAGGAAATATACCTAAAACAGTTGCATCAACTCGCACACCTAAATCTTGACCCGTATCCAAATAAGTCCTTGTGTCGATCAAGTCCCCATGCCATGTTATACAGCCACTCCCTCCCTGCCTTTCATCTGCATTTGCGTATGCCGTGCAAGAACAATTTCTCAGGCATTCTTCTTTACATGCTTCCCGACTCCTGCTCATGTTCACACGTGCCGTAGAAGTGTCCGGCAGCTTCACGCGTTCCAACTTCACGAACCCTTCCCCGTTTTGGCAAACGGATGATCCGTTTTGCCTCACGCACCCGCCTGACCAATCTCTCGAATACCACTCATGTTGCAACTTGGGTTCGAATCCAGGTAGGCATTTGCACTCAAATTTATCCGCAAAGTTTGAGTAAGGGTAACAAATGCTATTCGGACCACACACCCCGTAAGAATCACACTGCCAATCCGGCGACCAATGCCGGACCCATTTATGCACTTCAGCGTCCCATTGGGACCGTTCAAAGTTTCCTGATTCATCGATCGCCAATTTTACGAAGATTGATTCAGGAACTACTTCCATGATGGATACCTCATCTTGATTGTTCACAAAAGTAACGTTGGTGAAGAATAGTTTTAACATTTCAGGCACCCCGGACCATCTTTCACCGGTCCAAGGTCCAGTCCGCCACAATCGAGTCTGACCCATGTATAAGAACACCTGTGGACTCTCACTCGGCTCCATCCGGAACGAACAGTTGCCCATTCCCGGGTCATCTTGGGACTTCCAAGATGTGAGGAACCGGTTCAACCGGGACCGCCTGTCCAGCCCAATTTTCATATAAGGAAGCATGGTATTTGTGGGATAATCAAAACCTTGCCACACCTTTTCACCATTAATTTCAACAACAAGATTTCCCTTATCCGAAAGCTTGGCTATCACGGAATTGTTTGGAGAAGAGACGGTGAGATTAGCGGACCAGATAGGGGTATTTTGGTCCTCCCCATAAATAACAAGGCCACCATGTTCTCCATGAATGGCTAGAAGTCCAGTTCCAGCAGTAGGAACTATGGGGTTTTCTCTGTTTGCAATCCAGACAACGGTTTTGATTGGAATTTTGTTGAACCAAACTCCAATGTAACGGTTACGAGAATTGCCTGGCTTAAAAAACCCTAGTGCAAAGATTTTAGTGGTGGAGAGAAGAACGTCGTCCTCTCTTAGGGGTTGGTTTGGTGTAATGGCGTCCAGGGTAACCGAAGTGGAAGAGGGAGGAATCACAAGGAAGATGAGCAATACAGTACTGACAAAAAAGAATTCAGTAGAATTCATTGTTAGCTTTCTCATGGAGGAGTTTAAGTGCTAAAATGGCTGCTTCTTTTGACATGCAGAAACAAAAAGCCGGAAAGGTTGGATTTTCTTTTTCTTTGATCGAGTTTCGAGTAACGCTAATTTAAGGGCATACGCTCGACTTCCAGTTGTGTTCAGTAAATTGATAAGACAAATTGGCTCTGAATGGGGCCAAGTCTGTACGACTGGTAATGAATGATTTTACCTTTCATTTTTGTCATAAAATTCAACACCACGTAATGCCTTCTGAAAATAACTTCCGACATGATTGGCCTCTCTGATGCACTTTCTTGCACGCAAAGTCCGTCTGACCCAATGATGGATCGACCATACCTAATGCCTTCTCTTCTCTCCACATATCCGATGCATTTTTTTCTACCAAGAGTCTTGTTAGCTTTGAATATGTTGACAAATCTTTATGTTGCTTTCGACCGTTGTTCAAAGAAAATATAATTGCCTTCAGTGCCGCGAGGAGACTATTACAATCATTGAAAGAAAATTAACAGTATGTACTATGCATAGAAGTACAGTACATTGTCTCAAATGTAATAACACATGAACACATAATTGAAAGAAGAAGAAATGCTGTATAACCTAACCATTAGCGTGCTACAACCGTAGTTATCGTCACGTTGTTTAGAGAGGAAGCTCCTCTCTTTGACACTGCTAAGCTTGGATTGTTGGATTGTCATATAAAAGCAGGTTTCTGAAGCCAAATTGCAACAAAAGTTCTTCGGTAAGATCTAGGACACCCCTTATTTCATCTTTGATCTGATCTCCTAGACAAAATATGTGGACACCATCCTGCAACAGGTCCCGAGGTTAAACAAAAAAGAAAAGGAAAAACACTTCATACACCTAGGATTATAGACTAACAGTTTGCAAATACCAACACGATACCTGAGTAAAACCTTTTACACAAGAAAGACCATGCAAGCTTCCAGATAATTCGTATCTATATACGGTTCCCAACTCAGCAACTTGAATAGGAAATTCATGATATGAGTTAGGCTTCCTTTTCTAAACCAAGATATGATAGGGGCAGTTCATTGGTCGAAAGCCGATAAAGTTCATCCTCAACATTCATTTGATCATACATATTCTCCTTGTAGTAATCCAGATGACCACTTATCTGCCAAAGGTTCGCCTTTGCAACATGTGGAGTATACAGCAGATCGTAACCACGTTCTATGTGGATCTTTTTCCACAAATCTTCCATTACATGCCTCACAATAGCACCCCTTGGACGCCAGAACACTAAACCCCCACCAGCATCATTCTGTGAAAATTCAACAACGAAAATGTTCAATGCAAGAATCCTCACAACTACAAATAATGGGATTGCTAACTGATAAATCTGCGTAAACAGAAAAAAGAGATTCAGGGCAATTCTGAGTACCTGTCTAGAAAACAGGTCAAGAACTTGACCAAGGTGCCTGTGATCTCGACGTTTAGCTTCCTCTTGGAAATGAAGATATGCCTTCAATTGATCTTCACTCTCCCATGCAGTGCCATAGATCCTCTGCAGCATCGGTTTCTTTTCATCTCCTCTCCAGTAGGCACCAGCAATAGACTCAAGTTCGACAGCTTTTCTGTTAATATTTCCAGTTTTTTCAACATGGGGCCCCGCACATAGGTCCCACCATTCATCACCTATGAAGAATTCGGCATACTATGAGGAATTATGACGTAAAGACAGTCTAATATGACAGGATGCTAGTTCAAAACACAATCAAATCCCAGTACAAGCATGCATATGTATAAACATAAGTATAATTTGGTTAGCTTGACCCAAAGGTTCCTCCCACCTTCAAATTAATCTCCTTTTCAATCTGTATATCAATAACTCATATTTAAAGAGCACCAACAACATTGTTTTCCCTGAGCACACCCCGCCCTCTCTTTTTTATTCCTTTAAATTTCCATCTTAAGACTCGACACAAACACTGTAAATTTCACTTGTGTAGCTAATAAAAATATCATTTACGCACAGTTCCTGCACATTAAATCATCACCTTCCAATATGATATATGGTAATGGGATCTTCTTTAATACTATCCAAAATTTCCAATTTGTATGGTTCGTTGAGAGCGGTTATTCTTTTGTGAGCTTCATCTCTTGAAACTTCTTCTCATATGAGTGTTAAGTTTCTACCAATGATGTGATCCTACAAATCACAAAAGAAATGCTCCTGAATAGTTTTCACTTGTTTCATGGTTCCAAAACTTTGATACAAACATGATAACTTATACAGAAATTCCACTTACCATCTCCCTCTTGATTCTCTTCAACTCTTTGTCCGTCAAAGGCTCCATATCAAAATCATAATAGAACCCATTTTCTATCCACCGACCAATTGTCACTTTTGCATCCGGGAAGACCTTCTGAACAGCCATGGCCATCACGTGTGCACACTGCAGTCAAACACATATAAATAGTTCATCACCATAACAGCGGAAAAGGCGCCATTGATATCAAACTACAAGGAAATTCAGAAAAAAAATGAACATAGCTCGACCTCAACACTTTATCAAAATACAGAAACCCATGTATCTTCTCACATTCCCAAAAACAGGATGAAAATTTTCCCAGCTTATCTACTGCTATACACCCATTTTTCCATGTCCTATTCGATCAAATTTCAAATTACCGAAAAGTTATGTTCTTATTTTCTTCATCCTCACTCCCTCATTCTTCACAACAGAATCAGGTGACAATTAGTAACGTAGAATTGAAAATGGTTGATTAAAAGCATCAATTTCAAAAAGGGGAAGCTCCTACGAATCTAAAAATTCAAAAAATTCTACAGGAAAGCACCTCCTACTTCAATTTAACATAACACAATCATAAATCCAATCCAAAGCAATGAAATTTCAATAAATACCGTGTGTCGAATTCTGATGAGGCTTTCGGAGGACTCGTTGGTTGGAAGCACGACTTTCTCAGGCTTATCAGCTACCTCCATCTGGGCATCCTTCAATTTGTCGTCTTGGGTCGAGCGCTGAGCCTCCGTGGCCATCGCCGAGGAGGTGGAGACTCCATTTCTACCGCCGTAGAGGGACAGAGCCCTGAACTCGGAGCTCAGTGGCGACTCGCAGTCTTTAACTGGGGAAAGCAAAGAAGGTCTTTAGGGAGGGAATGAGAGACTGAGTGGCAATTTTGTAAATAAACTGAAATCTGCCTCAAAATTGCACAGTGCCACGTCCCCTACTTTAGACTAAAGTAATATAATTTGTCTTCAGTGCCGCGAGGTGACTATTAAAATCATTAAAAAAAAAAAAGAGTATAGATAAGCATAAAATTACAGTATATTGTGTGAAGTGTAATAACATATGAGGACATCATTTTTTGGGTCCACGTATGAAGACATCGTTGAAAGAAGAAGAAATGTTTTATAACCTAAGTCATTAGCATGTGGTCCAACAATTTAATATTAATAATAATTTAACAAAAAAGTCATTAGCGTGCTACCATCGTATTTATCGAAAACCGAGAATTTCAATTTAGCTTTACGCCAGATAAAGAAATTTAAGATTATCAAGAATTTTTAAAAAAAATTTATATTAGACTTCACAAAATGTTAATTGCATCTCATATTAAAATTAATATTATATGACTTATTTACTTCACTATACAATGATAATTTTGACCTTATTAGGTTTTAAACATAAATAAAAATTTCTAAATACATCCTAAATCACTTTTATCGTATTATTTATCTTCTCAACTATCAAAACTCTATCACCCTCCATTGTTGAACAAAACCCTAACCAATGAAACTACAAACATGTTAATTGAGAAAAATTGTTTTTGACAAATAGAACACGAAATCGATGTTTTGAAAGTTTCACATGAGATAAGACTTCATATTTTTCATTGTTTTAGTGATTTCGATGACATCGATATTGATGCGTTATTTAAACTTCTATATTCATATCTTTTTGGATCACAAGAATTACATGAAGAATTAAACATCTAAATTACCACCAAATATTAAAAACAGACAAGATGAGTTTTAATAGTGGAATTGAAAACAAACCCATATACGATTTAAATCCCAGGCGACATTTTTGTCAAATTCCAATCAGCATTTTTGGTCAAAATTAAAGGCTTTATCTCTGGTATTTGTTGGAGGTGTTGTGTTGGGAGTTTTTTGTTTGCCCTTTTCTTCTTTTGGATCCCACATCTGTTCATCCGTTTGGCTCACCAGTGCGGCGATGCTGATGACGACTTCAACAGTTTCTTTGTTGCCACATACAACGACCTGTTTGCTCTAATTGTCGAGTCTGCTGCCACTGCATTGAAATTATGTCACAGATTATTAATATTACAACTAATGATAAAATTGTTAAACAAAGTGAACTCTACACAATTTTATCATTAGTTGTAATACTAATAATCTGTGACAGAATTTCGATGTAGTGGCAGCAGACGCAACAATTAGAGCAAATAGGTCGTTGTATGTGGCAGCAAAGAAAATGTTGATTTTCCGAAGATTAGCCAATATGGCGTCGGATTTTTTTGCGTCGGTTATTTTTTCAGAGATGTGTGATACTGTTTGGGTGATCGTCAGGCCCCATCTTCGTTGGTTCACATTTTGAACAATGATGCTCTTCTGGGTCGTCATTGATTTGTTGAGGCGGTGTTTGAGGTGACGCTCAACTTGGTTGATGCATTTCTGGTTGTACCCCTTTTCATCAATGTCGTTTTCGTTCTGCCTTCCTTGGTGTTTGCCTGTTTGTAGGCTTGTACCTTTTGACTTCGTGACCTTGGAATGTTATTCCTAGTTTCCCAAAAAAAAAAAAAAAAGTGAACTCTGCACTAGTTTCTAGTACTACATACCCTGATAAATACTTGATGCGCCAAATCATCCTAAGTGCCAGCACTTGTACCATCTGGTTTGGCGAAGGGAATTAAATCATAGGCAACATTGTACTTAAATTTGCCCATTGCAGCGTTGAAGATGTCAAATTAAACGTTCAAATGATTTGAAATATTTCGACAAATTAAATGTTCAAATGGTTAGATTTAATTTTTGAAAATTAAAAAATAAGTGTTATAAGATTTGAGAAATGTGGGGTGTATGTACAAAATATGAGGTGTATAATTGTATATTGAGAATGTAGAGTGTGGGGGAATTATGAGAAAATATGTGGGGTGTATTAAGATAATTTTTAAGTGAAAAAGAAAATGTGGGGTTTATTCAACAATTTGTGAGGTGTTAATATAATAAGCCTTTCAAAATGATAGAAATATAATTGACTGAATTTTATTTTTTAGAATTTGTAAAGAATTTGAAAGTTTTCTTGTTTTGTTAACCTAAAAGAACGATTGAATTTCAATAGGAACTTTTTATTTTTAAACTCTCACTCATAGAAATTTAAAAATGACATTCATTTACATGGATTTTAAACATTGGATTCCCAAATTCCAAATTTTTTTTCAAACGAAAAATCAAAATTTCTATGTTTATAAATTCAAAACAAGAGAATTTGTGCATATCAATTTATAATTTCTAACTTTTGTCAAAATTCCAAGCTTATTTTTGTCATAAAAAAAAAGTTAAAAACTATAACTTGTTTTGTTAAGAAGGGGAATTCGCACACTACCTATCACGGCCAAGATTTTTGTTTACAATTGAGAATTTCAATTTGTTACTCACACGTCTTCATGTTTGATCTAAAATTTAAACATTTGGGCCTCGTTTGGATTCTAGGATTTGAATTTGAATTTAAAATCTTCACCTACAAAGAAATCTTGATTTGAGTACAAATACTTTAGGAAGTAATGCAAAATCTCTACAAGGCCTGAAAAGTGCAAACTCAACGAGCTTCAATAACTGTTACTGTTACATCATTTACAGAGGAAGCTCCTCTAGACGTTGAAGAATCCGGACCACCAGTTTTGAAGCTAAACGCTGCCTTTTTTGGATGTGGAAGATTCGTTTCATTCCCCAACATGAACACAACATCTAGCATGGTTGGCCGGTCCGTTGCATTTTCTTGCACGCACAAGAGCCCAATCTGAATGCATCTCATAACTTCGTGAGTCGAATACGACTGGTTCAGTGACAAATCAACTATGTCCAAGACTTTTCCTTCTGTCCACAAGTCCCATATCTGAAACAAGTGTGAGCACAATGTTTGGATCATTGGACTATTCAAGAGTCAGATTTATCATTTGAAAAATTATCTGTTTACTTACAAGTCCAACCAAATTCAGAGAGGTGTTTTCGAATTGGAAACTGTTCTTTTTGCGGCTAATGATCTCTAGTGCCAAGACTCTGAAGCTAAACACATCGGATTTTATGGAATATAGCCCATCCATAGCATACTCCGGTGACATGTAACCGCTGCAATCACACATTATCAGTATTAAAAAACATATCAGCTCTAGAGTTTTATTTCGAGTGAGAGGAGAGAATTACTAGGTGCCAATAACTCTGTTCGTGTTTGCTTCAATTTGGTCATCCCCGAACATTCTTGCCATGCCAAAATCTGATATTTTTGGGTTCATTGAACCATCCAGTAAAACATTGCTTGCTTTCAAATCCATGTGGATTATTTTTAGTCTTGAATCTTGATGAAGATATAGGATGCCTCGAGCAATCCCAATGATAATATGAAACCGCGTTCTCCAATCTAACAACGACTTTCTGTTTTTATCTGAACACAACACATAAAAGCTTCTATTAGCTACAAGTTTAGGATCTCTTAATTTTTAGTTTTTTTATTGTACGTTTAGAAGTGTTTTAAAATAATTAAAAACGTTTTTGATAAGAATGTTTTGAAACCAATCCTTAATAAAAATGCAAGTGAATTTCAGATAAGCACTTAAAATATTTCCCCCAAGAAGCATATAAGTGATGCTTCCTGCAAAAAAAATACTTGAAACACTTTTAGAACTCAAAAACAATTTAACCAAAAACACTTTAAAATAACTTTCAAATGAGCCTTATTTAGTTTGAAAAACCATGCGATAATATACAAGATTTATGCCAGACCACTATAATTCTATTGGTTGGTCAATATTATACGCTTTTCAGTTTGAAAAACCATGTGATAATATACAAGATTTATGCTAGACCACTATAATTCTATTGGTTGGTCAATATTATACGCTTTTCTCTTGCAAGAAACAATTTTATAGAAAAAGAATTAACGAGCAAATCCCAACAAATAAATAAACGTAGGACTGCAAACTAGTTTAGCGGAACCGAACACTATTGTGCTCAAATTTGACTTGTTTAATTAGTTTTGAGCTTGCGACCAGGCTTGATTTGATTCTCATGGAAGATGAGATAGAGTGAGCTTAAGAAAATGGGGACTAACTTGGTTCCAAATTGGGATAGCTTTTCCCCTCATTTTGACAGCACCTACTAGTAATAACACTAGTCACATCCACTTGTCGACTGTATGTAAAACTTGTGACACCTCCCCTTTTAATCCCCTCCAATCCAATAGTTATTCACGGTGGTTACTAGAAAATGTGTTTGCGTTTTGCTGCGGACGTTGAATCTATTATCCATGATAGACATGAATAATTTTCACACAAAGAAGCTAAAAAGACGGTGTAGTAGCTAAGAACCAATGACGTTAAACTTTGCTTGCTATGTATGGATATGCATGCTATAAGAAACCATCCATTTTTAGATCATATTGCATCACTAGTACTATACTCATTGTTTCAAGTAATCAGCCTACTACATGGGAGGAAAACATAGAAAAGGGAAAGTAGAAAAGTAGAAGACATAACCATCGACGATCCGACCGTTGGTTCTTCACCAAACTTTAATGCGTTATAGCACGTAATATTTGAGGACATTACAAACTGATGGATCGGAAATCCGACATACGGATCTTGATGAATTGAATTTTTTTAATTTGTAAAACTAATTGTTAACCTCCACCTAATTCTAGCAATTGGCGGAGATCCGACTATTCATTTCGAAATTTTAGGATATTGTTCTAGAAGATAAATGAGACTCTTGAAAATTACGGATCAGAAATCCGTGGATGGTTATTCCAGATCAAATTACGTAGGGTTGTGGACCCCATCGTGATTGCAAGTCTGCGAGTTGACTTTTGGTCAACATGTCTCGAATCGTTTTAAATACTAAAATTAGTATTATTGGAGACTAAGTGAAGTCTAGTGGGCCTACATTGTTTAGTGAGTGACTTTAATAAATGTGACATGATTATTACCCTAGTTTAGTATATAATATCATTTGTGGATATGATTTGGTTTAATAAATGTGATTTCTATTAAAATGTATTTTTATATATTTGGCCATCGATCTATTGTTATGAAATGTGATTCGATTGTGGATTGGAAACATTTGTGAAATGTGATTTGAAATGCATGTTGAATTGTTTGTGAAATGCGAGGGCTAGTGGTGGACTGTTAACCCATTGTCATGAGGATTTGTTTGCTTCGATATTGTTTCATTCTCACTTTGTTGACCCATTCTAAATTTAGTACTTGAGCTAAATTTAGAACATCACTCAGAACAGGCTGAACCACTTTTGGGTCCCATCCTAGACTCACCACAAAAAAAAAAATGGCCCTTTTGCAACAAAACGAACACATTGCAAAAAGTAATTAAAACGTAGTAAAAAGCTTTTGGCGACGGCCTTGGACGCGTCGCAACAAACCTATGTCGCAAAGTCTTAACAACTATTGACAACGCAAAATAACCGTCGCAAATATTATTTGCGACAAAATTACAACATTATTTAAAGCATCATTACTAATATATCCAAGTGTAAAAAAAAATTCTAGCGCCATATTTGACACCAGATACAAATTATTCTATTTAATTTTACAAACTAGAAACATATTATTATTGAAAAATTTGCATTGTATTATCATATACAAGTACGACAAAATTATGAAAACACCAATATAGTTTTACTTAAAGTTAGTTGAATGGTCGTATACATTATACACCAATGAGTGTGAGGCTTGTGGTCGTGGTCGTGGTTGTGATTCTGTGCCTGACCTTTAGGAACAATTAAAAATCCATTTTCCTGCAAGAGTGAAACATGTTTGACATCAGTATCAACAGAATGACAAGAAGAAATAGCAGATTACAAGCTAGTTTCGTGATGGTTCTGTAGAACGAGCACACCAAGATTATACATGAATCAAAGTTTTGACACTCCTAGTTTTGTGATGGTTCTGTAGCATAAGCACACCAAGATTATGAAGAAACTTGTAGAATCCTATATAAAATAAGTTGAAGTCTAGCAAGCTGACAGATGTGGAAGCTGCTGGTCTCACCTTTATATAATGAAACTTCGCCTAAAGTTTTTGTTGACTCTCTATTTGTTTTGCTTGATCCGTCTTCTGTTACCATACAGAGTTGGTGAGCTTTAACATCAGCATGTACTTTGCTCCATGAGTGAAGATAGCTCAATATAGTTGTAGCTTGCTTTGTAACATGATAAGCTTGGGTCATTATTTGCAATCTTACAATCCCTTTGAAACGCCGTAAATTTTCTAGCCTGCAATGGGTGAAAGAAAGTCTTAGGAACATAAAAACCAGCGTAACAAGTGCTCATTCATGTATAAATGACATTGGTCCTCATCTAGCATGAAATGGCCATTATATTTAGAACAGTTCTGAGTTTTCATCTGAATCAAAAAAAGGGAAAAATTGCTATGTAATAACACCATTCAACTTTATTACCAAATCTTCATTGCTATCAAAATTCAAACTAAATACCATTCATTGAATAAGAAGAATGCAAAACCAGAGATATAAGCAAAATTCCACAGGATCACCAGGTAAAAGTATTTGTTTGTTAAGTAAAACGCTAATACAACTCATCTATGTTATGACCGCAACATGGATTGTGATGCCTTCAAGTTTTTATAAGAGAAGCTAATTGCAAGATAGCTATGGCATAAATTAAAATTCTAAACCTTCATACACTTCATCTAAGGTTTCCAAATTCTGACCCAATTTCCTAACTTGATTTCAATTGCTGGTCACTTTACAGCTTCAGATTCATTTTGTTAACAAAAGCTAAACAAAGTAAAAAAATTTGGAGGCTCTATACCTTCAAAAGTTTTGAACTGTTGTCCCTTGATTTCTTTAAGCCGACCAATACCTTAAACCAACACTGGGAATCCAAACCTGATAGTGAAACTATGTATCCAATTTAACACATAACCCTGCCAGTTAAATACAATCATCATCAACATTAAGCAACAAACAAGGAATTAACTTTCAAGCATGCAAAAATTGTTCTTTTCTTTTTCCTCTAAAATCAATCCAACGGTTAAAGATTAAGCTACATTATCCAATAACAAATAGATAAAATCACAATAAGGCTGCGTGGGGGCAGCAGTTGTAAAAGAAGCGGTAAGGAAGATGAGAACCCAGTCTCTGATGGTTTTGTCAAGGACCAGATTTCTCCTCTTCGTGGCCATGGCCGTGTCCGATGCCGTAACCGCAGCCGTGGTGGTGAGTGTGAGGCTCGTCACCGGCAGATGCAGAGAACCCAAAAACAAAGCCCGACAACTAAAATAACCACCAAGACCAATCAAAATCAATTTTTCTAATCCCAAACAACGGGACACACGAATGAAATAAAAAATCAAAAGGCACAGAAAATCAATAAAATAATTAATTGAACAAAATTCGTAGAAAGAAACCCTAGGAAACTAAAAGGCACACCAAAATCGGGACTATAGAACTTGAAATCGAGATTCCAACCTGAGAGAGACCAATCCAAATCAAGCTCAATGAACGAGAGACCGTAAGAGGACTGAGAGTTTGAGAGATCGGGAGAATATAGGCAAAGAGACGGAGATAGAGTTTTGTGGAGATATAGAATTTGAGAGGCAGCCGCTAACTTTACCAACAAAATTGAAAACTGGTGGAATTTTTCATATGAAATTAAGGCGCCTAATAGGAAAAAGAGGGCGCTAAAATAAAATTAAAATTTTTGGGAAGGTGTCTATCAAATGTCTATTGACGTGGAGACGTGTTCGTGACATTAGTTAGAGCAGTGTCGCAAAAGTTTTTTCATAATCATTATGTGCGCTAATTTTTGGGTATTTGCGACGCCGTGTGCTCTGTTGCAAATAAAGTGTCGCAAAAGAGCTTTTTCCTTGTAGTGACTTTTTCTTTTGATTGCGGGCTGACACATGGCATGATTAGTGTCTTAGTAGGCTTGCTCCTAAAATCTTGTGTCATAAAGTTGTCAACCTTCCTACATGTCTTTGGCAGTCGAAAGGTACTTTTATGTAGCCTGGTCGGACTGATGATGAATGTTGCAAATAATTTATAGCTTGTATTTACAACAAGACATATGATGAGTATAGCAGATATAGAACTTAGATCCCCAATTATAGGGCATATATTTTATAACATGTATTTATAACAAGACAAATGATGAGTGTTGCAAATTAATATAGAACTTAGATCTTTAGTTATAAGGCAAATTATTGAGTGAAATCAGGGTATATCCTCTCTTCTTATCTCACTCATCATGTGATTCTCAATTGAATAATATAGTATGTCCAATTATACGTCTGGTTCTCTCCTTAGCGACCTTCTGGTTGTGTATAGGTCATGTCATTTACAGAGTAAGCTCCATCAGTATTGGATGATGGGTCTCCACTAGTATGATAACCTCTGTTCAACAAAAATCCAGGTTGCTTTGGTGAAGGAATTGCTGCATCATTACCCAACATGGAAACCACTACTGACATGAGTGGACGATCCTTCGCTTGCTCTTGCACGCACAAGAGGGCAATGTGAATACATCTTAGAACTTCGTTGACAGGGTATGATTCTCCCAGAGATGAATCAATGATTTCCAAGGCTCTATTTTCCTTCCACAAGTCCCAAACCTAAAAACCATTTACAAATTAATCATCAAGTTATAAAAGCAAATGAAGAGAAGTTTGGTAATGTCTTAATGTTATGCTTACATGTCCAACTAAATTTGAGTAAGGACTATCGTGGTAGTAGCCAGTGTTCTTTCTGCCAGTAACAATTTCTAGTAGTAAAATGCCGAAGCTATATATGTCAGACTTTACTGAAAAATGTCCTTCCATTGCGTACTCTGGTGACATATAACCGCTGAAGCAACAAAATAAAATTGATTAATTATCACAGCTTCTTTCTGTATTATTCAACAAAAACAGGTGTACTTTCAGTTTTAAATGAAACTTACTATGTCCCAACCACACGGTTTGTATTTGCTTCAATTTGTTCCGCTCCAAATATCCTAGCCATACCAAAATCTGAAATCTTGGGGTTCATAGCAGAATCCAACAGAACATTGCTGGCCTTTAGATCTCTATGGATGATTCTTAATCTCGAATCCTGATGAAGATATAAGATCCCTCTAGCAATCCCATAGATTATCTCAAAGCGTCTTGTCCAATCCAAGAATGCCTCATTTGCTTTGTAAGGGAAAAAAGTAAACAAACTATATTAGATTGTATTCTTGCTTGGTTCAAGGTTTTTAACCGACAGTTTTAGATACACAAGTGAAAAGAAAGGTGCTTGTAACTGAGTTGAGTTAAGAGCATTCAATCCTGCACCTGAGGTCCTGAGCTTGATTTCCCCTCCACAATATTGCTTGTATAAAAAGAAGAACAAAAATAAAAGGAAGACATACCGAAAATGAAAAAGTCAAGACTTTTGTTCGGCAAGTATTCATAGATCAGCATCTTCTCTTCATCTTGAACGCAGCAACCTATGATCCTCACAAGGTTCCTGTGTTGGAGCTTTGAAAGCAGCACAACTTCATTCTTAAACTCTCCAATTCCTTGGCCAGAATTCTTGGCTAGTCTTTTCACTGCTATCTCCTTTCCATCATCAAGCACACCCTGAATTTATAATCCAAATTCAACTTATAGTGCACTTACCTTTCAAGAAAATTATCAACATATTCGTAGCTCTATATATATATATATATATATCCTCCCCTTGAAATTGCATTTATACATTAACAAAGGAGTAAAACTCAATGCATATACATAAAAATGCTTTGACTACTTCAAGTGAAGGAGATACGCGATTGAAATAACAAAAGATCGCAGTATTTTGAATTATTACTTCATATGGCAGAGCTTTTAGCTTTTATGGATGCCAAGAAAATGAAGGAAATGAGCAACTATCATATGCCCGGTTTGTAATTAAAACTCGCATTCCAAGAACAAAACCTTTGATCACTAGAAGCATCGGCGAACTAGAAGCGGAGTTGAATTAAAGGTACAACCAGTGCAAGGGGAATATGAACAAGCATTTATCCTTTTGGTTATTTGGATTCCTGTTTTTGATACTTATGGTTTCAAACTCTTGCAGACTATTCTGTTCAGTGATAGGTTCTGATCATAAACTCGATTCACACCGTTTCAATGATATTCTTAATGAGGCAATAGCTGCAGGGGCGTATGTTTATTAAGCTCCAGTTTCATAGTAATTTTGGTTCATGTTTTTATTTTAGGTGCGTGGGTATAATGTTTATATTTATGTGATGGAAGGATTACATGGATTTCAAATGATTCATTGGACATGGTCATTTCAGTTTCAGTTATTACATTAAATCTGATCATTTCGTGGATTATATATGTTATATCTTTATGGTTCTAACAAATATGAGCTTATTGTCAAAATGTGGATTCATTCTTTTAAATCCTTATATCCAAATGAAGGCTTTATCTCTTTATCTTTAAGAAAAAAGAGAGAAAATTCCAGTCCTACCACAAATTTAAGTATCAATGTTACTGGGTATCATCTTTTTCTAAGTTCAGTCCTGGCTTACAAACCATGGCCGATTGGTTCTTAAAGATATTTAAAATACAACCACAGGTGATAAGATTCACTATGAGTGTTAAATCAGATGGCCCTTTTAGTTAGTTCCTTAGAGTTAAGAGATGCCTCATTTTGAAGAAGCTGAGATCCCCAGGCTTAAGGAAGTGAATCAGGCCTTACTCACAATCAATGAAAGGACATGACATGCTAGGTAAAAAGAGTTGGAAATGTTTCGTAATTTATTGCTCCCAATTTTCTTTGGCTTGCATAAGATTAACCACTTCTAAATAAATTTTAAGATCAGCTCCTGTCCATGTTTGTTTAACGATGTTGTATAATTCATTGTATAATTTCACAAAAATCGTGCATAATTCTTGGTGAACTTGGTTTGGTTTTCTTTAGTTTAGGAATGGTGTGAGCGAATCACAGTTCGGCCAAATTTTCAACGATGAATTGAGCCAGATCATTGAGGTTTCTCTTTGTCAAGTTAATTTTTTTTTTTATTCAAGTATGCTAAGTGCTTTAGATTTCAAAATTTGTCTGTTAAATATCAGTATAAAGAAACTTTTCTCTAAAACACCATCTGTGCATTTATGCATTTGTTTTTCTAAGTTAACAATTATGCAAAATGAGGGTTTATATTTCAGTTTTTAAACAGTTTAGACCAAATTTGTTTAAGTATAATTGAATTGATTGGTTTGAATACGAACGATTTGTAAAACTTGGATTCAGACAATATTTAAGGGGCGCCAACAGTTCTGAACTACGTAAGCCATTTTTCTAACTTTTTGTTAGTCCTTTTATTGTTCTAATCTTTAGCAAGAGGATCCTTTAACAAATCCAACTGTCATTTGTTCACATTAACTTCTATTTTTTCAATTTGTAACAAAGAAATGAAAACTTATGTAGAAAGAGGGAGAAACGAAGTGAAGAAGCAAACCCATTAGATTATGGAAGTTCAACGCTGCATATTGTTCCTTATTGTAAATCAGTTTGTGAATAGATTTCCACATATATATAAGTAGTATGGCTTATCATATATAGATTTAAAACTTTCTACATGTTTTATACAGTTTCAAAACCTGCAGTACCGTGTGGGCATTCTTGCTAGTTGGTATCTAAGATGAATGTGAAAAGTAAAAACAAGATAGTTCCCATCACTTATCGATTATTCATTGGGTTTGAATTTTAATCAAATATATTTTTGAGTCAACCTTTCCAGTCTTTATTGGACGGGTCTCTTGATTTTTGTTAACTGTAATGGTCTTGTAATCCTATTGTTTGTAAGTGTAAATAGCCTGAATGTTAGCTTAGCTTGTAAGCAATATGGTTTGGATATATATCCTTATGGATCACTACCTTGTATTTTTTCTGAAACCATTAACAAAGTTTCACTTTTTCTGTCTAAAATCTCTCTCTCTCTCTCTCTCTCTCTCTCTCTCTCTCTCTCTAAATCTTGCTCCCTCTCTCTTCTTGATTCTCTTTCTATCTCTGCAAGATGTATTCATTATGTTCTTCTGTTTAAACTACAAGGGAAAAAATAATTGATTTGGAGTGCAGATGGCTAAAAAATAAATCTAAAAAATGTCTATTCAAAGTTTGATTTATGATTTGAGACATTATCTGAGGGCAACTATGTACCTTATAAACTGAGCCGAAACCACCTGTTCCAAGCTTGTTGTTGGAAGTGAAATTATTTGTGGCCTTAACTATGGTACTTAGTTCAAAGAATGGTAATTCAGAGTTTATTCCACTTTCATCAATATTTGTTCTAGCAGAAGAATCTTCCCAGGAGGTTGATGCTATGGTCACATTGAAAAATTTATCCTGACGTTTTTTACCTGCGATAAAAGTACATAAACAGATAATATTGTGTTCTTAAATAATTAAAACCAATATCCAGTTACATAATTGTGAATGATTAGAGGGCAACCTAGTAAAAGGAAATTTGTTTACCTTTTCTCTTCCTCTTTACCAACCAACATGCAAGGGAAAACACGAGGAAGAACAAAAGACCACATGCTACTGAAACTTCCAGCTTCCTCTTCTTGCCGAAAGAACTGTTTGACTTCTTTGCGTATTGAGCTGTAGATATACAAGCATTTATTTCCATGTTTAAAAAACCTTGTAAAAATTTGGGAAAAAAAACATTGTAAAAAGCTCCAATGAACATAAGAACTAAATTTTTAGTATTAATTTATAGAAATTTCTGAATTTTTAATAAAAAAATTAGTACTCTAAAAAAGTCATCTTATACTCTTGACGAAACAATTTCACTTTTATTAGTTGGCAAGAGACCAGTGCCAAATGATTTTTTTAGAATGATAACAAACGTACAACTACCAAACTAAATAATAATTCCTCAAATTTTTTAATGAAATAAAGAAAGAAGATTTTTTTTTCATGGAACCTCGGCTTTACGAGGACAATTATTGACAAGGAAAAGAGAAGCAAGAAGATAAATTGATAAGGAAATATACCTAAAACAGTTGCATCAACTCGCACACTTAAATCTTGACCCGTATCCAAATAAGTCCTTGTGTCCATCAAGTCCCCATGCCATGTTATACAGCCACTCCCTCCCTGCCTTTCATCTGCATTTGCGTATGCCATGCAAGAACAATTTCTCAGGCATTCTTCTTTACATGCTTCCCGACTCCTGCTCATGTTCACACGTGCCGTAGAAGTGTCCGGCAGCTTCACGCGTTCCAACTTCACGAACCCTTCCCCGTTTTGGCAAACGGGTGATCCTTTTTGCCTCACGCACCCGCCTGACCAATCTCTCGAATACCACTCATGTTGCAACTTGGGTACGAATCCAGGTAGGCATTTGCACTCAAATTTATCCGCAAAGTTTGTGTATGGGTCACAAATGCTATTCGGACCACACACCCCGTAAGAATCACACCGCCAATCCGGCGACCAAAGCCGGACCCATTTATGCACTTCAGCGTCCCATGCGGACCGTTCAATGTTTCCTGATTCATCGATCACGAATTTTACGAAGGATGATTCAGTAACTACATCCATGATGGATACCTCATCTTGATTGTTCACAAAAGTAACGTTGGTGAAGAATAGTTTTACCATTTCAGGCACCCCGGACCATCTTTCACCGGTCCAAGGTCCAGTCCTATACAATGGAGTCTGACCCATGTATAAGAACTCCTGTGGACTCTCACTCGGCTCCATCCGGAACGAACAGTTGCCCATTCCCGGGTCGTCTTGGGACTTCCAAGCTGTGAGGAACCGGTTCAACCTGGACCGCCTGTCCAGCCCAATTTTCATAAAAGGAAGCATCGTATTTGTGGGATAATCAAAACCTTGCCACACCTTTTCACCATTAATTTCAACAACAAGATTTCCCTTATCCGAAAGCTTGGCTATCACGGATTTGTTTGGAGAAGAGACGGTGAGATTAGCGGACCAGATAGGGGTATTTTGGTCCTCCCCATAAATAACAAGGCCACCATGTTCCCCATGAATGGCTAGAAGTCCAGTTCCAGCAGTAGGAACTATGGGGTTTTCTCTGTTTGCAATCCAGACAACGGTTTTGATTGGAATTTTGTTGAACCAAACTCCAATGTAACGGTTACGAGAATTGCCTGGCTTAAAAAACCCTAGTGCAAAGATTTTAGTGGTGGAGAGAAGAACGTCGTCCTCTCTTAGGGGTTGGTTTGGTGTAATGGCGTCTAGGGTAACCGAAATGGAAGAGGGAAGAATCGCAAGGAAGATGAGCAATACAGTACTGACAAAAAAGAATTCAGTAGAATTCATTGTTAGCTTTCTCATGGAGGAGTTTAAGTGCTAAAATGGCTGCTTCCTTTGACATGCAGAAACAAAAAGCCGGAAAGGTTGGATTTTCTTTTTCTTTGATCGAGTTTCGAGTAATGCTAATTTAAGGGCATACGCTCGACTTCCAGTTGTGTTCAGTAAATTGATAAGACAAATTGGCTCTGAATGGGGCCAAGTCTGTACGACTGGTAATGAATGATTTTACCTTTCATTTTTGTCATAAAATTCAACACCACGTAATGCCTTCTGAAAATAACTTCCGACATGATTGGCCTCTCTGATGCACTTTCTTGCACGCAAAGTCCGTCTGACCCAATGATGGATCGACCATACCTAATGCCTTCTCTTCTCTCCACATATCCGATGCATTTTTTTCTACCAAGAGTCTTGTTAGCTTTGAATATGTTGACAAATCTTTATGTTGCTTTCGACCGTTGTTCAAAGAAAATATAATTACCTTCAGTGCCGTGAGGAGACTATTACAATCATTGAAAGAAAATTAACAGTATGTACTATGCATAGAAGTACAGTACATTGTCTCAAATGTAATAACACATGAACACATAATTGAAAGAAGAAGAAATGCTGTATAACCTAACCATTAGCGTGCTACAACCGTAGTTATCGTCACGTTGTTTAGAGAGGAAGCTCCTCTCTTTGACACTGCTAAGCTTGGATTGTTGGATTGTCATATAAAAGCAGGTTTCTGAAGCCAAATTGCAACAAAAGTTCTTCGGTAAGATCTAGGACACCCCTTATTTCATCTTTGATCTGATCTTCTAGACAAAATATGTGGACACCATCCTGCAACAGGTCCCGAGGTTAAACAAAAAAGAAAAGAAAAAACACTTCATACACCTAGGATTATAGACTAACAGTTTGCAAATACCAACACGATACCTGAGTAAAACCTTTTACACAAGAAAGACCATGCAAGCTTCCAGATAATTCGTATCTATATACGGTTCCCAACTCAGCAACTTGAATAGGAAATTCATGATATGAGTGAGGCTTCCTTTTGTAAACCAAGATATGATAGGGGCAGTTCATTGGTCGAAAGCCGATAAAGTTCATCCTCAACATTCATTTGATCATACATATTCTCCTTGTAGTAATCCAGATGACCAATTATCTGCCAAAGGTTCGCCTTTGCAACATGTGGAGTATACAGCAGATCGTAACCACGTTCTATGTGGATTTTTTCCACAAATCTTCCATTACATGCCTCACAATAGCACCCCTTGGACGCCAGAACACTAAACCCCCACCAGCATCATTCTGTGAAAATTCAACAACGAAAATGTTCAATGCAAGAATCCTCACAACTACAAATAATGGGATTGCTAACTGATAAATCTGCGTAAACAGAAAAAAGAGATTCAGGGCAATTCTGAGTACCTGTCTAGAAAACAGGTCAAGAACTTGACCAAGGTGCCTGTGATCTCGACGTTTAGCTTCCTCTTTGAAATGAAGATATGCCTTCAATTGATCCTCACTCTCCCATGCAGTGCCATAGATCCTCTGCAGCATCGGTTTCTTTTCATCTCCTCTCCAGTAGGCACCAGCAATAGACTCAAGTTCGACAGCTTTTCTGTTAATATTTCCAGTTTTTTCAACATGGGGCCCCGCACATAGGTCCCACCATTCATCACCTATAAGGAATTCGGCATACTATGAGGAATTATGACGTAAAGACAGTCTAATATGACAGGATGCTAGTTCAAAACACAATCAAATCCCAGTACAAGCATGCATATGTATAAACATAAGTATAATTTGGTTAGCTTGACAAAAAGGTTCCTCCCACCTTCAAATTAATCTCCTTTTCAATCTGTATATCAATAACACATATTTAAAGAGCACCAACAACATTGTTTTCCCTGAGCACACCCCCGCCCTCTCTTTTTTATTCCTTTAAATTTCCATCTTAAGACTGGACACAAACACTGTACATTTCACTTGTGTAGCTAATAAAAATATCATTTACGCACAGTTCCTGCACATTAAATCATCACCTTCCATACTATATTGAGCCTGAAAATAGTGAAACCCTTACCAATATGATATATGGTAATGGGATCTTCTTTAATACTATCCAAAATTTCCAATTTGTATGGTTCGTTGAGAGCGGTTATTCTTTTGTGAGCTTCATCTCTTGAAACTTCTTCTCATATGAGTGGTAAGTTTCTACCAATGATGTGATCCTACAAATCACAAAAGAAATGCTCCTGAATAGTTTTCACTTGTTTCCTGGTTCCAAAACTTTGATACAAACATGATAACTTATACAGAAATTCCACTTACCATCTCCTTCTTGATTCTCTTCAACTCTTTGTCCGTCAAAGGCTCCATATCAAAATCATAATAGAACCCATTTTCCATCCACGGACCAATTGTCACTTTTGCATCCGGGAAGACCTTCTGAACAGCCATGGCCATCACGTGTGCACACTGCAGTCAAACACATATAAATAGTTCATCACCATAACAGCGGAAAAGGCGCCATTGATATCAAACTACAAGGAAATTCAGAAAAAAAATGAACATAGCTCGACCTCAACACTTTATCAAAATACAGAAACCCACATATCTTCTCACATTCCCAAAAACAGGATTAAAATTTTCCCAGCTTATCTACTGCTGTACACCCATTTTTCCATGTCCTATTCGATCAAATTTCAAATTACCGAAAAGTTATGTTCTTATTTTCTTCATCCTCATTCTTCACAACAGAATCAGGTGACAATTAGTAACGTAGAATTGAAAATGGTTGATTAAAAGCATCAAATTTTCAAAAAGGGGAAGCTCCTACGAATCTAAAAATTCAAAAAATTCTACAGGAAAGCACCTCCTACTTCAATTTAACATAACACAATCATAAATCCAATCCAAAGCAATGAAATTTCAATAAATACCGTGTGTCGAATTCTGATGAGGCTTTCGGAGGACTCGTTGGTTGGAAGCACGACTTTCTCAGGCTTATCAGCTACCTCCATCTGGGCATCCTTCAATTTGTCGTCTTGGGTCGAGCGCTGAGCCTTCGTGGCCATCGCCGAGGAGGTGGAGACTCCATTTCTACCGCCGTAGAGGGACAGAGCCCTGAACTCGGAGCTCAGTGGCGAATCGCAGTCTTTAACTGGGGAAAGCAAAGAAGAGGTCTTTAGGGAGGGAATGAGAGACTCAGTGGCAATTTTGTAAATAAACTGAAATCTACACCCAAAATTGCACAGTGCCACCTCCCCTAGTTTAGAGTAAAGTAATAGAATCGCCTGCAGTGCCGCGAGGTGACTATTAAAATCATTAAAAAAATAAGAGTATAGATAAGCATAAAATTACAGTATATTGTGAGAAGTGTAATAACATATGAGGACATCATTTTTTGGGTCCACGTATGAAGACATCGTTGAGAGAAGAAGAAATATTTTATAACCTAAGTCATTAGCATGTGGTCCAACAATTTAATATTAATAATAATTTAACAAAAAAGTCATTAGCGTGCTACCATCGTATTTATCGAAAACCGAGAATTTCAATTTAGCTTTACGTTAGATAAAGAAATTTAAGATTATTAAGTAATTTTAAAAGATTTTTTATACTAGACTTCACAAAATGTTAATTGCATCTCATATTAAAATTTAATATTAAATGACTTATTTACTCCATTATGCAATGACAATTTTGACCTTATTAGGTTTTAAAAATAAATAAAAATTTCTAAATACATCCCAAATCACTTTTATTGTATTATTTATCTTTTTAACTATCAAAACCCTCACACCCTCCATTGTTCAACAAAACCCTAACCAATGAAACTACAAACATGTTGATTGAGAAAAATTGTTTTTGACAAATAGAACACGAAATCGATGTTTTGGAAGCTTCACATAAGATAAGACTTCATATTTTTCATTGTTTTAGTGATTTCGATGACATCGATATTGATGCGTTATTTAAACTTCTATATTCATATCTTTTAGGGATCACAAGGATTGCATGAAGAATTAAACATCTAAATTACCACCAAATATTAAAAACAGACAAGATGAGTTTTAATAGTGGAAATGAAAACAAACCCATATACGATTTAAATCTCAGGCGACATTTTTGTCAAATTCCAGTCTGCATTTTTGGTCCAAATTAAAGGCTTTATCTCTGGTATTTGTTGGAGGTGTTGTGTTGGGAGTTCTTTTGTTTGCCCTTTTCTTCTTTTGGATCCCACAACTGTTCATTCGTTTGGCTCACCAGTGCGGCGATGCTGATGACGACTTCAACAGTTTCTTTGTTGCCACATACAACGACCTGTTTGCTCTAATTGTCGAGTCTGCTGCCACTGCATCGAAATTATCTCACATATTATTAATATTACAACTAATGATAAAATTGTTAAACAAAGTGAACTCTACACAATTTTATCATTAGTTGTAATACTAATAATCTGTGACAGAATTTCGATGTAGTGCCAGCAGATGCAACAATTAGAGCAAACAGGTCGTTGTATGTGGCAGTAAAGAAAATGTTGATTTTCCGAAGATTAGCCAATATGGCATCAGATTTTCTTGCGTCGGTTGGTTTTTCATATATGTGTGATACTGTTTGGGTGGTTGTCAGGCCCTATCTTCGTTGGTTCACATTTTGAACAATAATGGTCTTCTTTGTCGTCATTGATTTGTTGGGGCGGTGTTTGGGGTGACGCTCAACTTGGTTGATGCATCTTCTGGTTGCATCCCTTTTCATCAATGTCGTTTTCGTTCTGCCTTCCTTGGTGTTTGCCTCTTTGTAGGCTTGTACCTTTTGGCTTCCTGGCCTTAGAATGTTATTCCTAGTTTCCCAAAAAAAAAAAAAAAATGTGAACTCTACACTAGTTTCTAGGTTAGATTCAGTTTTTGAAAATTAAAAAATAAGTGTTATAAGATTTGAGAAATGTGGGGTGTATGTACAAAATATAAGGTGTATAATTGTATATTGAGAATGTAGAGTGTGGAGGTATTATAGGAAAGTATGTGGGGTGTATTAAGATAATTTTTAAGTGAAAAAGCCTTTCAAAATGATAGAAATATAATTGACTAAATTTTATTTTTTAGAATTTGTATAGAATTTGAAAGTTTTCTTGTTTTGTTAACCTAAAAGAACGATCGAATTTGAATAGGAATTTTTTATTTTTAAACTCTCAATCATAGAAATTTAAAAATGACATTCATTTACATGGATTTTAAATATTAGATTCCCAAATTCCAAATTTTTTTTTCGGGCGAAAAATCAAAATTTCTATGTTTAGAAATTCAAAACAAGAGAATTTGTGCATATTAATTTATAATTTCTAACTTTTGTCAAAATTCCAAGCTTATTTTTGTCATAAAAAAAATAAAAACTATAACTTGTTTTGTTAAGAAGGGGAATTCGCACACTACCTGTCACGGCCAAGATTTTTGTTTACAATTGAGAATTTCAATTTTTACTCACACGTCTTCATGTTTGATCTAAAATTTAAACATTTGGGTCTCGTTTGGATTCTAGGATTTGAATTTGAATTTAAAATCTTAACCTTCAAAGAAATCTCGATTTGAGTACAAATACTTTAAGAGGTAATGCAAAATCTCTACAAGGCCTGAAAAGTGCAAACTCAACGAGCTTCAATAACTGTTACTGTTACATCATTTACGGAGGAAGCTCCTCTAGACGTTGAAGAATCCGGACCACCAGTTTTGAAGCTAAACGCTGCCTTTTTTGGATGTGGAAGATTCGTTTCATTCCCCAGCATGAACACAACATCTAGCATGGTTGGCCGGTCCGTTGCATTTTCTTGCACGCACAAGAGCCCAATTTGAATGCATCTCATAACTTCGTGAGTCGAATACGACTGGTTCAGTGACAAATCAACTATGTCCAAGACTTTTCCTTCTGTCCACAAGTCCCATATCTGAAACAAGTGTGAGCACAATGTTTGGATCATTGGACTATTCAAGAGTCAGATTTATCATTTGAAAAATTATCTGTTTACTTACAAGTCCAACCAAATTCAGAGAGGTGTTTTCGAATTGGAAACTGTTTTTTTTGCCGCTAATGATCTCTAGTGCCAAGACTCCGAAGCTAAACACATCCGATTTTATGGAATATAGCCCATCCATAGCATACTCCGGTGACATGTAACCGCTGCAATCACACATTATCAGTATTAAAAAACATATCAGCTCTAGAGTTTTATTTCGAGTGAGAGGAGACAATTACTAGGTGCCAACAACTCTGTTCGTGTTTGCTTCAATTTGGTCATCCCCGAACATTCTCGCCATGCCAAAATCTGATATTTTTGGGTTCATTGAACCATCCAGTAAAACATTGCTTGCTTTCAAATCCCTGTGGATTATTTTTAGTCTCGAATCTTGATGAAGATATAGGACGCCTCGAGCAATCCCAATGATAATTTGAAACCGCTTTCTCCAATCTAACAACGACTTTCTGTTTTTATCTGAACACAACACATAAAAGCTTCTATTAGCTACAAGTTTAGGGATTTCTTAATTTCAGCGTGTATTCATAGATTGCATACCAAAAATGCATAAGTCCAAGCTGCGATTTGGCATGTATTCATAGATTAGCATCCTCTCTTCTTTATGTATGCAGCAACCCAAAAGCCTCACAAGATTTCTATGCTGAAGCTTTGCTATAAGCATTACTTCGTTCTTGAATTCATCTACGCCTTGTCCTGAATTTCTCGATAATCTTTTGACAGCAATGTCCTGTCCATCAGCTAGACATCCCTGAAATCACAGTGAAGACTCGACAATCTTAATGACAACTTCGGATCGATATAATGTTTACATCCAATTCTGTCTTATCTGCCTCAATGTCACAGAGCTTATGTATTGTTATATTTGCAGCAGAGTAAACAAAGTACACGGAAGCGTATTTCACATTTTATTTGAAGCCACACAACGCTGAGACGCTCAAAATGTTCTAGGGAAAGTACCTTATATACTGTGCCGAAGCCGCCATGTCCAAGCATGTTAGCATAAGAGAAGTTTTCTGTGGCTGCAACCACAGTGGTTAAATCGAAAAAAGGTAAATCTGTGTCTCCTCTGTGTTCCTCAACCTCATTTTTTATTGGCAAATCTTCATAGCTTCGTACACCAGAAGCAGCGGGATCATTCAGAAATCTAGGTTCTCCTCCTCTCCCTGTTTCAATTCCATTGAAATTTCAGGGTATAAAAAATTTCACAAAGAAAATGAAATTTGAGCTGAAATAAAGCTGCAAAACAAATTTACAAGACGACAGAAGGGGAAACTTTTCCTTTTCGCATACCTTTCCTGCTCCTTTTCCTGAACCAACATAGAACTGCGAGGATGAGCAATGAGGCGACGGAAGTTGACACTACCAATATAATAGCCAGTCGCCTTCTCCCTCCTGACTTGTTTTTATACTGAGCTGAAAAAATGAAAAAAAAAAAAAAAAAAATCAATTCACTAGTGCTATGAATGGTATGAAGTTGAAACATGCAATTGACGCAATCTGTAGGAAAATAAGGCTACCTAAAACTACTGCATCAACGCGAACGTACAAATCTTGCCCGCCTTCTGTGAACTGCTTAGTATCCATCAAATCTCTATACCATGTCATGCATCCAGTCCCTCCATTCCTCACATCTGCACTCGCATATGCCAAGCACGAGCAGTTGTTCAAGCACTCCTCCTTGCACGCTTCTAAGCTCAAGTTATTTTCCAATTTTATAGAGGACGTGTCTGGAACCTTTACATTCTCCAGCTTTCACAAAACCCTCACCGTTCCTGCACATGGACGGCGAGCCCTGAGGCCTCTTGCACCCATCTGTCCCATCTCTTAAATCCCAATCCTGCGGTGAGGTTGGTTCATATCCGGGGTAGCATGTGCAGTTGAACCCACTGTTGGTGTAAGGATTGCAATTGCCAAATTGACCACACTTGCCATAGCTGTCACAGGAATCCAATGGTGCCGACCAAAGCGAAACCCACTGGTGCTGCTGGTCCTGCCATGATAGCTGGTTGAGTGTTCCCGATCCGTCTATTGTGATCACCGAGTGGATTGAAGGGTCGAGAACAGTCCACTGCACAGCAATTTCATCTTGGTTGTTCACAAAATTGATCTTAAACACAACGTTCCGCTGCACGGCAGGTATGCCTCCCCATTGAATCCCGTTCCACTGTCCTGACCTCCACCACTTAGCGTCATCCTTGTACAAGATCAACTGAGGCGATCCATTTGGGTCCATTCTCAACGAAACATTCCCCGTCCCAGGATCATTGTCCGAGTTCCAACACGTGAGGAACCGGTTTATGCCACTTCTTCTGTCCAACCCGATTTTCATATTCGAAAGAAGAATATTTGTAGGGTGATCAGTACTCTGCCAAAAAACATCCTGGCTGCCTTGTTGAGCCAAAACAAGGCTTCCCGAATCAAGAATTTGCGCAGAAATATTACCGTTGCTCGCTGATGATATCGAAACATTTGTTGACCACAGAGGCACAAGGCCTTGGCTAGTATTGGCTTGCAGCACTAGGTTTCCATCAGAACCTATTGAGAGAACTCCTGAGCTGCCATTGATGGGATTATCTCTGTTGGCCACCCACACAACCAAGTCTTCCGAAAATTTGTACCAAATTCCAACATAGCGGTTGGTAGATGTCCCGGGACTAAAGAATCCCAGGACAAAGGTCTCATTCTTGGACAGCAAGAAATCACCGTCTCCGACGGGTTGATCAAATTTTATGGTGTCCAAGGAAGAGCAGAGCTGGAGAAGGAGGTGCTGAAGAACTAAAACATTTAGCAGACCTTTCAGAAAATTCATTATTGCAGAACAAAGGTTTGCCAAAGCACTACTGATTACTTGCTAAATGTATTAACATTGGTTAAGTAATCTTGTAATTATTATTTGTTTGTTTAATGCAAAAATTAAGTAAAAGATACGTAAATAATAATTTTTGGTCCACCACGAAAGGTACTCGTGGAAGAAAACTTGGACACGGACTCCACATAGAATGCAACGCCTTATGGACTTTGAACAATTTTGTTGGATGTGGCCTCTTAAAGTCAAACATTTGCAGCATTTTTTTATTAGAAAATCCCTGTATAAAATTTGGAAGTTTCGTCAGTGAGATGGCGGAACGACATTGTTTGGGTTAGCCAGGTTGGACTTTTAAGGGCATACGAAGTCTCATGTTTGTTTAGTTTAAACTTTTTTTAATATCTGTTTTGGAGTTATTAGAAATAGACTAGTTGTTCCCTAGTGTTTCTTTCTTTTCTTTTTTTCTTCCATATTATTAGAAAAAGGAACAATAGCCTTTAAACTTCGGTGTTAACTCATTGTCATAGTAAAAATGTACTTGACTAACATTATAATTTGTGAGGAGAACTAAGCTAATCAAGGGCTCCGTTTTATTTTTATTTTCCATTTCTAGGCTGATAAAGAAAAAGTATATGGAGCAAATGTGTATGGGATGATTTAACCAAAATGAAAATTAAAACAAAAAATGCAAAAGATTTTTGTTTTCACCTTCAGGTTTTTGTTTTATATAATCTCTTGTATTCCTTCCTCTTTCTTCCCACAGCTTCCCTTTCTCTTTTTTTTTTTTGGGCTCTATCTCTAGCACAAAAAAAAAAAAAAAAACTAAAAATGAAATAGCTAACAATCGAATCTTAAGTAAATCATTTTAGAGGAAATTTTCTGAGTGGGACAAAATTTCGTTTTGAATTTCTGCTATTTGGTACAAATTTTATGTCCAAAGACAAAAATGTCACATAGAGGAAAGGAAAATTTGTACCAAATAGTGGAAATTTATGTCCAAAAGACAAAAATATCACATAGAGGAAAGAAAAATTACTGCATCTCCAGAAATGTAAAGATAAAAATTGGACTTGGTCAGGCATGAAGGTTGACCATTTCATCAAGTTCAGGATCAAATTTTAGCAGAAATTGACACCATGGCCCCATCACCCTCTGGGACTAGTGTTTTTACAGCCTCAAAAAATCCACTTTGGAAATTTCCCCAAAAGAAACTAGAGATGTCCCAACTCCCAACAACTCTAGCACTAAAAATACTAAATTCCTTTAAATATACATGTTATTGGTGGCGGCTGGTGGGCGTAGGACTTTTAAAATGTGATGAGGACAATAAGTCTTAAACCAGAGTCATGGTCGGTTCTCCCTTTCACATTTCACATTTCACATTCTAGAGCAATGATCCCAAACATGAACAGACCGTCCTCAGTGGAGCAGATGAGTATATATTATTGAAATCAATTAATAGCTAATAGCTTCTTAATACCCGTTTATGCTTGATGGAATCGTGAAGTCATTTTTTATGCAAAAAGAAAAATTATATTTTTCTTGAAAAAGATAAAATTCTTTAATCTAAACTTTATAATTCACGTCAATCGTCCAACCCTTTTCACACCAGCCCCACATTTCCTATACCCTTTAACTTTAATGGCCTATATGAGTGCCCGCACGGAATCATCCCTCATGGTTTCAGTGACAGCCTCTCTTATTTTAATTAGTGACTCTTACGATGTGATTATTGCATGAGAGTATGATTTTCTTCTCTTTTAATCTCTCTCTTCTTCTATTCTCTCATCTTACATTATTGTTTTTATCTTATTCTCTATATAAAAAATTTAAAATAAGATATATACGTGACGTAATCGTAACTGTTTAAATAAGGATGAATGAAAGAGAGGAGAAATTAAAAGAGGAGAAAATTCTACTCCTATTGCAAGAACGATCTCAGGAAGGTCATATGCTTTTTTTTGGGCACCATTTGCTTAAAAGGTGACGCCATGCTCAACCTAGGCGTCTAGGCCCCATGGTTGAATAATCTAGACAGATAAACCGTTGACAAAACAAACACATAAAAATCCAAAACTCCTCATGTGATGTAACTACCGATGGCTTGAAGCAATGGATTTTCGTGCTATATATAGTATCAACCCTTGTGGTTTCTTTACCTGACATTGACATTCAACTTACATATGTATGATTTATATTCAGTTTTTATACTAAGGACATAACGTTCAACTTACACGGTGTATGTTTTATATTGTAGTATATTCAGCTTGTCCCTACCTTGGACATGTCCATTCGTCTTACACCAGATAGGACTAGTTTATGGTTACATTTTCAGCTTACACTAGTTACCACCACTAGTGTATGGAAGTAAGCTATACTACCAGACTTAGGGCAGAGATCTTGGCTTCAAGGTAACTTGCGACAGCCCTAATCAGTTCCTACTGAGTAAGGCCACTCCCTTATGTCCTTTTAGTTTGTATTAACGTCCATCCGTGAATGGATGAGAAACTAAGGAAGTTGCGTTGATAGCAAAACTTCAACACAGGAATTTCGTGAAAAATTTTAGGCTATTGTACAAAGGGGAAGAAAGGATGTTAGCCCTTAAACAGTTGCATATCCACACATCTTTTTATCTCTCACACATCTATCTTAATTTCCGCTCATTGAATCGAATGAATTGAAGTAGATTAAAATACAATATTAATTGTGGAACGAAGGATGAGTGTGTGGGGGGAGCCCCACCCTTTTGGTATGTCCAAAAGTAATGAAGCATATATTTGGAGTTTGTGCTAAAATATACTACATGACGATTACATAAAAACCAAACCTATCGTCTCGATGCAGATCACAGAAAAAGGTCCTTGATGGATTGGAAAAAAAACGCTTTGGAATTCTGAATCTTCATCAGGACTCAAGACTTAGAATTATGCATAGGGATCTAAAAACCAGCAATGCTCTTCTAGACGCTGAGATGAACCGGAAAATTTCAGATTACGGCAAGAATTTTCAATGGGGATCAACTGCAGGATAAGACCAACAGTCATTGGAACATCGTAAGAAAAATGAATAATTACTTAGCTACTTAAATGATGAGTAGGAGTTCCTATTCAAAACTGTTTGTGGCCAAGTTAGAGAATTTCATGTTTAAGATCAAAATCATTCATCTTATAAATAACTCTATAAAGATTGTCTCTCCAAAAAAGCAATTAATAAAGTTGTTTAGTCATCAAAATGTATAAAAACAAAGGAACGAGATTGGTAAAAGTACTAGAAACCATCTATGTATTTCCTACAATAAATTGATTAAACGAACTTATTTTTAATTTATTTTTTACGAAGATGATCTTTACATAATGATTCATAACGGTTTAGAGTTTTGAGTAGTGGGTAGAAGTTCCTAGGAGTTTCTATTATTTTAAGTAGGAGTCTCTACAAAATCCTGTAATTCGAAAACAAAGAACTTTGAGCTGGAGATCTTACCATTTTTCAGAGTCAACGTATTATTCAAGAAAAAATCAATAGTCAACTTTGACGGAACTGATTAACCGTCAACATCCAACTCTCCTGGATCTGAGTCGTGCTTGGCGGTTGCCGGGCAAATTATTCAAAAAAGCAACAGAAATTCCAACTGAAAAACATAAACATCAGCGACAATTCTTCATCGTGGATGCAAAATTCCGAATCCCCAGAAGAGAAATGTTGTTCTTCAAACCTCTGTTTCTGTTCTTCCCCCTTCTCTCGCCACTCTGCGCATCCCGAATCCCCAGAAGGGAAATGTTCTTCAAACCTCTGTTTCTGTTCTTCCTCCTCCTCTCGCCACTCTGCGCATCCATTGACACCATAACAGTCAACCAACAGCTCAAAGACGGCGACTCTATAGTCTCCAAAGACATAAAATTTGAGTTGGGATTCTTCGGGCCCGACAACTCTAGTAGTTCCAGGTACGTCGGAATCTGGTATGCAAATCAACCGGAAAAAACAGTTGTTTGGGTGGCAAACAGAGACAACCCCGTCAACGATAGTTCCGGAGTTCTAGCAATTAACAGGTACGGAAACCTGGTTCTCTCTGCTGCTGGGAACATTTCCATTTGGTCAACGAATGTGTCTGTCGATGTCCAAACCAGAAGCACTTTTGTAGCTCAGCTTTTAGATTCTGGAAATTTAGTGCTTTTCCAGGAAAATAAAAGTGAGAGCTTGATTTGGCAGAGTTTTGATTACCCAACTGACACTTTACTTCCAGGAATGAAAATTGGGTTCAATTGGAAAACTGGGTTGGAATGGAAATTGACATCATGGAATTCCGAAAAGGACCCTGGAACCGGGGACTACAGTTTTAGGGTGGTTTCCAATTCAACTGCCACCCCACTAATTGTTGTGTTTAAGGGTTTGAGCAAGTATTGGAGATCTGATCCATGGGCGTGGCCGAATTTTGTAAGCAATGATGAGGAAATGTACTATTATTTTACTCCGAGTGAAAACGGTTCTGTAGCACAAGCGGTTTTGAGGGATTATGGATTGTATCAACAGCTGAAATGGAGTGATGCTGATGATCAGTGGGAGGAATATTGGTCTGCACCCAAATATCGGTGTGACAAGTACGGACAGTGCGGTGCTAACAGCATATGTAGCCCTGACAACGTTAATCTGTTTGAGTGTGAGTGTTTACCTGGTTATGAACCGAAATCTGTGAATGATTGGAATCAGAGAAATGGGTCGGATGGGTGCGTGAGCAAGCGAATTGGGGGGTCGAAATGTGGGAATGGGGACGGGTTTGTGACGGTTCAAAGAGTGAAAGATCCAGATGCATCGATAGGAGCACAGTTGGTTAAAAGCATGAGTGATAAAGAGTGTGAGCAGGTGTGCTTAAACAATTGTTCATGCACTGCATATATGAGCTTAGGGCGGGAAGGGCGGATTGATTGCATGACATGGTATGATGATTTGATGGACATTTTAGTGCGCACAGAGGTGGGAGGAGACTTATATGTTCGCGTGGACAAAATCGAATTAGGTAGTGATTTCGCTGGTCTTGTTAGGTGTCCTTACTGGTTCTGTTTTTCATGGTTTTCTAATCCTTTGTCCAACTCGAATTTGCAGGTAAGCATTCCAGCAAATCAAAAGGTTTTTTGAGACGGAGGGGCGCTGTGGTTATTCCAATAGTTTCGGTACTGGTGGCATTGGTACTAATCATTGTGTTTGCCTGCTGGCGGCATAAGAGAAAGAGTAAAACAAAAGGTTTGAGAAGTAGTTGTCCCCTCTGAATTGTTTAATGGTTTGATCTAAATAAAAGCAATGCGATTTGATCTAAATGAATGTCTACAATTGGTTTATGTGACAACACAGACTACATGGAGGTAGATGAACTTGAGGAAACTAGGAGACACCCTGAGTTGCAATATTTCGACCTGAGCACCATACTAGCGGCCACAGACAACTTCTCGCCCGTTCATAAACTCGGCCAAGGGGGTTTTGGCACTGTTTATAAGGTAAATCCCAATTTAGAAGTCCTGCACATTTTTTGACTGTATGATTTCTTCTGAGCAGTATAATTTTGTTCTGTTTCTTCAAGTCTCAGAGTATTTCTTTTTGCATTTTAAAGCATGAAGGCCTAGTAGTAATTGTAATACTGATTCGTTGCTTCAGGGCCAGTTACCAAATGGGCAGATAGTAGCTGTGAAAAGATTGTCAAGAACTTCAGGACAAGGGGTTGAAGAATTCAAAAATGAAGTTGCACTGATAGCAAGACTTCAACACCGGAATCTCGTGAAACTTTTAGGCTGTTGTATAAAGGGAGAAGAAAGGATATTAGTCCTGGAACACTTGCCAAACAACAGTTTGGACTACTTTCTTTTTGGTATATCTACAGCAAAAAATTCATTTGTTCATACTGTTTCGAATATACTTGAAGCTTCATAGCGAGATATATAACATGTATTTACATAAAGACAAATATCTTGTGCAGATCACAAAAGAAGGTCCTTGTTGGATTGGGATAACCGTTTTGAAATCATCAATGGGGTTGCTCGTGGGATTCTGTATCTTCACCAGGACTCAAGAGTTAGGATTATCCATAGGGATCTAAAAACCAGCAATATTCTTCTAGATGCTGAGATGAACCCAAAAATTTCTGATTTCGGCATGGCAAGAATACTCCATGGGGACCAACTGCAGGACAAGACGAACAGAATTGTTGGAACATAGTAAGAATTTTACTTGTGCTCAAACATTTATTGAAGGAATGAATCACCAAATATTCACATTACACAATCAATTTAACTATAAACTATTATTTGGCTTTAACATTTTCTTTTCATCATATGCAGTGGCTATATGTCACCAGAGTATGCAGTGTTTGGGAGATTTTCAACAAAGTCGGATGTCTTTAGTTTTGGGATCATATTATTGGAGATTGTAAGCAGCAAGAAAAACAACGGTTTATATCAGGAGGATCATTCCATGAACTTGATAGGACATGTATAAAACACTAATTTTTGTTGCAATCTACCCCTCGTACTTTTTCATGCCTTGCCTCAAATGAAATTACTGTCAACTGCAGGTTTGGCAGCTGTGGAGAGAAGGCAGAGCCTTTGAAATTGTGGATTCGTCATTAGAGTCAAATCAGTCCGAGGAAGTCATGAGATGCATTCAGGTTGGCCTTTTGTGTGTGCAAGAAGATCCAGAGGACCGCCCAACCATGGCAGCTGTTGTTGTCATGTTAAGTGGCGAAGCATCTCCTCCAGTACCTAAGCAGCCTGCATTTGTATTCAGAAAAAACCCCTGCAGTAATGCTGATCCATCAGTTTCGAAGGAATCATGTTCTATAAACGACCTGACAATAACTAAATTTCAAGCTCGATAATGATGCAGCAGGCTCTTTTGCTTGCATAATTGTCTGTCCCTATACTGCTGGCATTTGTTGGCCTTTGTATGACACACCGGAAATGCATTAGAAAGCAACGTGCGGTTTCAATGTATGCGTAAGCGACCGGAACATGAATCTTTTGAGCAATGATGAGAGAATACGGATGCAGTCTAAGCGATCGGGAGTTTGAGCTCAGATGACTTAGCAATTTTAAGATATTCGAGTACCTTTGAATTTGAGTGACTTGATCATTTCACTGTCTTTCTTGTTGCAACAATTCTGATACTTTATTGTGGTTGAAGGTGGAGAATATTTCATATTTGTCAAATTGCAGATAACCCTTGAAACGTTCAAAAGCCAGATCCATTTTATTTATTTTTTGTTATATGGTTCTCTTTGGTCTTTCCAGTTTTTTTTACTTCCTGTGGTTGAGTCACAGTCAACGTAATTAGAGTCGGAGAGAGACTTCCATCAAATGGGGATATCAAAAATAGCAACAATGTGAACGTATAGGTACGAAAATCACAGAAAAATAATTAAAATCCATTGATTCAAACACACAGATGCCCCGAAAATGTATATGAAAGTGTTGCTTGTGGTTTTCCTCTTCCGATTTGCACGTCCAGGGAAATCATCAACATGTGAAGGACGGTGACCTCTTATTCTCCAATAAATAAATAAAAAAAAATCACATTTGGGAGTATTAATAAATCACCATATTGTCACCTTTCATGTTCATTTGATTATTCTTCTTTGAAAAAGGGATTAGCTGGTGGTTTCGTCGCTGTAGTCCACATTTCCAGAGAAAATGAAGACTCACAAAGACATTTCACCCTCCCTTGGCCACCATCCTGTGGTTCACACGCATTAGAAATAAACTCAGGACATGCTATGTGGAATGCGGGCATAGAATTCGTCCCCGACCATTGGGTCATCCCATGATGGTTATGTTCATTTTACCATTGGTATAGCTTATATATGCAGCGAATGTAAGTCTTGTAGCCTAATGCTTATCACCTAATATTCAAGGATTATTAATCTCAAATGATTAAGCTTGTTCATACGCACATCACCGTATGTTCATGTTAGGTGTTGACAGAGAAATTCTGTCTTATAACCAATATAACATTCTAATCAAATGACGACAAATTTGTGAGAATTATGACAAGTCCTATGCCGTGTGACATTATGAGACACAAGAGGCAAGTACCAAATGACATTATGAGATGATGGTGTGATTATGATTGCGTCCGTTTTGGCAGCGGGTCTGCTGTACCTAAAATGAAGTTGAGTTCTGGTATAACACGTGTCACAAAATTATAGGAGAAATACGGTGGGAGACAGCACTGAGCCGTCAGTTTTGAATTAATCAAAATGAGGGTACTTATTATGACCGGATGATTCCAAATAAAGAAAAATAAATATCAGGGATAATTCTTCATCGTAGATGCGAAATCCCAAATCCCCAGAAGAAAAATGTTATCCTTCAAGCCTCTGTTTCTGTTCTTCCTCCTCCTTATGCCACTCTGCACATCCATTGACACCATAGCACTCAACCAACTGCTCAAAGACGGCGACACTCTAGTCTCCAAAGACAGAAAATTTGAGTTGGGATTCTTCAGGCCCGACAACTCCAGTAGTTCCACGTACGTCGGAATCTGGTATGCAGATCAACCTCAAAAAACAGTTGTTTGGGTGGCAAACAGAGACAACCCCGTCAACGATAGTTCCGGAGTTCTAGCAATTAACAGGTACGGAAATCTGGTTCTCTCTGCTGCTGGGAACATTTCCATTTGGTCAACGAATGTGTCTGTCGATGTCCAAACCAGAAGCACTTTTGTAGCTCAGCTTTTAGATTCTGGAAATTTAGTGCTTTTCCAGGAAAATAAAAGTGAGAGCTTTATTTGGGAGAGTTTTGATTACCCAACTGACACTCTACTTCCAGGAATGAAAATTGGGTTCAATTGGAAAACTGGGTTGGAATGGAAATTGACATCTTGGATTACGGAAAACATCCCTGGAACCGGGGACTACAGTTTAAGGATAGTTTCCAATTCAACCGCCACCCCTCTAATTGTTTTGTTTAAGGGTTTGAGCAAGTATTGGAGATCTGATCCGGGGCCGTGGCGGAATTTTGTGAGCAATGATGAGGAAATGTACAATTATTTTGCTCCGAGTGATAACGGTTCTGTAGCACGAGCGGTGTTGAGGGATTATGGATTGTATCAGCAGCTGAAATGGAGTGATGCTGATGATCAGTGGGAGGAAACTTTTGCTGCACCAAAATATCGGTGTGAGAAGTACGGACAGTGTGGTGCTAACAGCATATGTAGCCCTGACAATGTTAATATGTTTGAGTGTGAGTGTTTACCTGGGTATGAACCAAAATCTGTGAATGATTGGAATCAGAGAAATGGGTCGGATGGGTGCGTGAGTAAGCGAATTGGGGGGTTGAAATGTGGGAATGGGGATGGGTTTGTGACTGTTCAAAGAGTGAAAGATCCAGATGCTTCGAACGCACAGTTGGTTAAAAGCATGAGTGCTAAAGAGTGTGGGCAAGCGTGCTTAAACAATTGTTTGTGCACAGCGTATATGAGCATAGAGTGGGATGGGCGGATTGATTGCATGACATGGTATGATGATTTGATGGACATTTTAGTGCACACAGAGTTGGGACGAGACTTATATGTTCGTGTGGACAAAATCGAATTAGGTAGTGATTTTGTTGGTCTGGTTCAGTGTCCTTACTAGTTCTGTTTTTCATGGTTTTCTAATCCTTTGTCCAACTCGAATGTGTAGCTAAGCATACCAACAAATCAAAGGGTTTTTTGAGGAGTGGCGCTTTGGCTATTCCAATCATTTCGGTAATGCTGGCATTGGTATTAATCATTGTGTTTGCCTGCCGGCGTCATAACAAAAAGAGTAAAACAAAAGGTATGAGAAGTAGTCGTCCCCTCTGAGTTGTTTAATGGTTTGATCTAAATAAAAGCAATCCAATTTCATCTAAATGAATGTCTGCAATTGGTTTATGTGATAGCACAGACTACGTGGAGGTAGATGAACTTGAGGAAACTGGGAGACACCCCGAGTTGCAATATTTCGACCTGAGCACCATACTAGCGGCCACAGACAACTTCTCGCCCGTTAATAAACTCGGCCAAGGGGGTTTTGGCACTGTTTATAAGGTAATTCCCAATTTAGAAGTCCTGCACATTTTTTAACTGTATGATTTCTTCTGAGCAGTATAATTTTGTTCTGTTTCTTCAAGTCTCAGAGTATTTTTATTTTTTTTTTTCATTTTAAAGCATGAAGGCCTAGTAGTAATTGTAATACCGATTCGTTGCTTCAGGGCCAGTTACCAAATGATCAGATTATAGCTGTAAAAAGATTGTCAAAAACTTCTGGACAAGGGGTTGAAGAATTCAAAAATGAAGTTGCGCTGATAGCGAAACTTCAACACCGGAATCTGGTGAAACTTTTAGGCTGTTGTATAAAGGGAGAAGAAAGGATATTAGTCTTGGAACACTTGCCAAACAAAAGTTTAGACTACTTTCTTTTTGGTATGTCTACAGGAATGATTCATTTGTTCATACTGTTTCTAAAACTATGCCAAGCATACTCGAAGCTTCATAGCGAGATATATAACATGTATTTTACATAAATAGAAATATCTTGATGCAGATCACAGAAGAAGGTCCTTGTTGGATTGGGATAAGCGTCTTGAAATCATCAATGGGGTTGCTCGTGGGATTTTGTATCTTCACCAGGACTCGAGAGTTAGGATTATCCATAGGGATCTAAAAACCAGCAATATTCTTCTAGATGCTGAGATGAACCCAAAAATTTCTGATTTCGGCATGGCAAGAATACTCCATGGGGACCAACTGCAGGACAAGACGAACAGAATTGTTGGAACATAGTAAGAATTTTACTTGTGCTCAAACATTTATTGAAGGAATGAATCACCAAATATTCACATTACACAATCAATTTAACTATAAACTATTATTTGGCTTTAACATTTTCTTTTCATCATATGCAGTGGCTATATGTCACCAGAGTACGCAGTGTTTGGGAGATTTTCAACAAAGTCGGATGTCTTTAGTTTTGGGATCATATTATTGGAGATTGTAAGCAGCAAGAAAAACAACGGTTTATATCAGGAGGATCATTCCATGAACTTGATAGGACATGTATAAAACACTAATTTTTGTTGCAATCTACCCCTCGTACTTTTTCGTGCCTTGTCTCAAATGAAATTACTGTCAACTGCAGGTTTGGCAGCTGTGGAGAGAAGACAGAGCCTTGGAAATTGTGGATTCGTCATTAGAGTCAAATCAGTCCGAGGAAGTCGTGAGATGCATTCAGGTTGGCCTTTTGTGTGTGCAAGAAGATCCAGAGGACCGCCCAACCATGGCAGCTGTTGTTGTCATGTTAAGTGGCGAAGCATCTCCTCCAGTACCTAAGCAGCCTGCATTTGTATTCAGAAAAAACCCCTGCAGTAATGCTGATCCATCAGTTTCGAAGGAATCATGTTCTATAAACGACCTGACAATAACTAAATTTCAAGCTCGATAATGATGCAGCAGGCTCTTTTGCTTGCATAGTTATCGAACTTCTATTCTTTTTATTTCCCTTATAATTGTCTGTCCCTATACTGCTGGCATTTGTTGGCCTTTGTATGACACACCGGAAATGCATTAGAAAGCAACGTGTGGTTTCAATGTATGCGTAAGCGACCGGAACATGAATCTTTTGAGCAATGATGAGAGAATACGGATGCAGTCTAAGCGATCGGGAGTTTGAGCTCAGATGACTTAGCAATTTTAAGATATTCGAGTACCTTTGAATTTGAGTGACTTGATCATTTCACTGTCTTTCTTGTTGCAATAATTCTGATACTTTATTGTGGTTGAAGGTGGAGAATATTTCATATTTGTCAAATTGCAGATAACCCTTGAAACGTTCAAAAGCCAGATCCATTTTATTTATTTTTTTGTTATATGGTTCTCTTTGGTCACCAGTTTTTTTAACTTCCTGTGGTTGAGTCATAGTCAACGTAATTAGAGTCGGAGAGAGACTTCCATCAAATGGGGATATCAAAAATAGCAACAATGCGAACGTATAGGTACGAAAATCACAGAAAAATAATTAAAATCCATTGATTCAAACACACAGATGCCCCGAAAATGTACATGAAAGTGTTGCTTGTGGTTTTCCTCTTCTGATTTGCACGTCCAGGGAAATCATCAACATGTGAAGGACGGTGACCTCTTATTCTCCAATAAAAAAAAAAATAATCACACTTGGGAGTATTAATAAATCAACATGTTGTCACCTTTCATGTTCATTTGATTATTCTTCTTTGAAAAAGGGATTAGCTGGCAGTTTCGTCGCTGTAGTCCACATTTCCAGAGAAAATGAAGACTCACAAAGACATTTCACCCTCCCATGCCCACCATCTTGTGGTTCACAGGCATTAGAAATAAACTCAGGACATGCTGTGTGGAATTCGGGCATAGAATTCGTCCCTGACCATTGGGTCATCCCATGATGGTTATGTTCATTTTACCATTGGTATAGCTTATGTATGCAGTGAATGTAAGTCTTGTAGCCTAATGCTTATCACCTAATATTCAAGGATTATTAATCTCAAATGATTAAGATTGTTCAGACGCACATTACCGTGTGTTCATGTTAGTAGTCGAAAGAGAAATTTTGTCTTATAACCAATATAACATTCTAGTCAAATGACAATAAATTTGTGAGAATTAGGACAAATCCTATGCCATGTGACATTATAAGACGCAAGAGACGAGTATCGAAGGACATTATGAGATGGTGGTGTGATTATGATTATGTCCGTTTTGGCAGCAGGTCTGCTGTCCCTAAAATGAAGCTGAGTTCGTATTAAATGGTATGACACGTGTCAAAAAATGATAGAAGAAATACGGAGGAGGGAGACAGCACTGAGCCGTTGGTTTTGAATTAATCAAAATGAGGGTACTTATTATCACCGGATGATTCCAAATAAAGAAAAATCATTATCCAAATTCTTGCGGGGCGATTGAAGCACAAAACTCTAACCGATTATTCTTCGAAGAAACTGATATGACTGTCAACATCCGAAGTCTCCTTGACTCGAGCCATGCTTGCCAGTTGCCGTATAAACTACTCAATCCAAATAAGCAGCAGAAATTCCAAGAGAAAAAGATAAATATCAGGGATAATTCTTCATCGTAGATGCGAAATCCCAAATCCCCAGAAGAAAAATGTTATCCTTCAAGCCTCTGTTTCTGTTCTTCCTCCTCCTTACGCCACTCTGCACATCTATTGACACCATAGCACTCAACCAACTGCTCAAAGACGGCGACACTCTAGTCTCCAAAGACAGAAAATTTGAGTTGGGATTCTTCAGGCCCGACAACTCCAGTAGTTCCACGTACGTCGGAATCTGGTATGCAGATCAACCTCAAAAAACAGTTGTTTGGGTGGCAAACAGAGACAACCCCGTCAACGACAGTTCCGGAGTTCTAGCAATTAACAGGTACGGAAATCTGGTTCTCTCTGCTGCTGGGAACATTTCCATTTGGTCAACGAATGTGTCTGTCGATGTCCAAACCAGAAGCACTTTTGTAGCTCAGCTTTTAGATTCTGGAAATTTAGTGCTTTTCCAGGAAAATAAAAGTGAGAGCTTTATTTGGGAGAGTATTGATTACCCAACTGACACTCTACTTCCAGGAATGAAAATTGGGTTCAATTGGAAAACTGGGTTGGAATGGAAATTGACATCTTGGAATTCCAAAAACGACCCTGGAACCGGGGGCTACAGTATGAGGATGGTTTACAATTCAACTGCCACCCCTCTATTTGTTTTGTTTAAGGGTTTGAGCAAGTATTGGAGATCTGATCCCGGGCCGTGGCCGAATTTTGTAAGCAATGATGAGGAAATGTACAGTTATTTTACTCCGAGTGAAAACGGTTCTGTAGCACGAGCGGTGTTGAGTGATTATGGATTGTATCAGCATCTGAAATGGAGTGATGCTGATGATCAGTGGGAGGAAACTTTTGCTGTACCAAAATATCGGTGCGACAAGTACGGACAGTGCGGTGCTAACAGCATATGTAGCCCTGACAACGTTAATCTGTTTGAGTGTGAGTGTTTACCTGGGTATGAACCGAAATCTGTGAATGATTGGAATCAGAGAAATGGGTCGGATGGGTGCGTGAGTAAGCGAATTGGGGGGTTGAAATGTGGGAATGGGGATGGGTTTGTGACTGTTCAAAGAGTGAAAGATCCAGATGCTTCGAACGCACAGTTGGTTAAAAGCATGAGTGCTAAAGAGTGTGAGCAAGCGTGCTTAAACAATTGTTCGTGCACAGCGTATATGAGCATGGAGTGGGAAGGGCGGATTGATTGCATGACATGGTATGATGATTTGATGGACATTTTAGTGCACACAGAGTTGGGACGAGACTTATATGTTCGTGTCGACAAAATTGAATTAGGTAGTGATTTTGTTGGTCTGGTTCAGTGTCCTTACTAGTTCTGTATTTCATGGTTTTCTAATCCTTTGTCCAACTCGAATGTGTAGCTAAGCATACCAACAAATCAAAGGGTTTTTTGAGGAGTGGCGGTTTGGCTATTCCAATCGTTTCGGTACTGCTGGCATTGGTACTAATCATTGTGTTTGCCTGCCGGCGTCATAACAAAAAGAGTAAAACAAAAGGTATGAGAAGTAGTCGTCCCCTCTGAGTTGTTTAATGGTTTGATCTAAATAAAAGCAATGCGATTTCATCTAAATGAATGTCTGCAATTGGTTTATGTGATAGCACAGACTACGTGGAGGTAGATGAACTTGAGGAAACTGGGAGACACCCCGAGTTGCAATATTTCGACCTGAGCACCATACTAGCGGCCACAGACAACTTCTCGCCCGTTAATAAACTCGGCCAAGGGGGTTTTGGCACTGTTTATAAGGTAAATCCCAATTTAGAAGTCCTGCACATTTTTTAACTGTATGATTTCTTCTGAGCAGTATAATTTTGTTCTGTTTCTTCAAGTCTCAGAGTTTTTTTTTTTTTTTTTTTTTCATTTTAAAGCATGAAGGCCTAGTAGTAATTGTAATACCGATTCGTTGCTTCAGGGCCAGTTACCAAATGATCAGATTATAGCTGTAAAAAGATTGTCAAAAACTTCTGGACAAGGGGTTGAAGAATTCAAAAATGAAGTTGCGCTGATAGCGAGACTTCAACACCGGAATCTGGTGAAACTTTTAGGCTGTTGTATAGAGGGAGAAGAAAGGATATTAGTCTTGGAACACTTGCCAAACAAAAGTTTAGACTACTTTCTTTTTGGTATGTCTACAGGAATGATTCATTTATTCATACTGTTTCTAAAACTATGCCAAACATACTCGAAGCTTCATAGCGAGATATATAACTTGTATTTTACATAAATAGAAATATCTTGATGCAGATCACAGAAGAAGGTCCTTGTTGGATTGGGATAAGCGTTTTGAAATCATCAATGGGGTTGCTCGTGGGATTTTGTATCTTCACCAGGACTCGAGAGTTAGGATTATCCATAGGGATCTAAAAACCAGCAATATTCTTCTAGATGCTGAGATGAACCCGAAAATTTCAGATTTCGGCATGGCAAGAATATTCCATGGGGACCAACTGCAGGATGAGACCAACAGAATTGTTGGAACATAGTAAGAATTTACTGGTGCTCAAACATTTATTGATGGTTTGAATCACCAAATATTCACATTACACATTCAATAACTATAAACTCTTATTTGGCTTTAACATTTTCTTTTCATCATATGTAGTGGTTATATGTCACCAGAGTATGCAGTGTTCGGGAGATTTTCAACAAAGTCGGATGTCTTCAGTTTCGGGATCATATTAGTGGAGATTGTAAGCAGCAAGAAAAACAATGGTTTATATCAGGAGGATCATTCCATGAACTTGATAGGACATGTAAAAAAACACAAATTTTTGTTGCAATCTACCCCTCAAACTTTTTCATGCCTTATCTCAAATGAAATACTATCAACTGCAGGTTTGGCAGCTGTGGAGAGAAGACAGAGCCTTAGAAATTGTTGATTCGTCATTAGAGTCATATCAGTCCGAGGAAGTCTTGAGATGCATTCAGGTTGGCCTTTTGTGTGTGCAAGAAGATCCAGAGGACCGCCCAACCATGGCAGCTGTTGTTTTCATGTTAAGTGGCGAAGCATCTCCTCCAGTACCTAAGCAGCCTGCATTTGTATTCAGAAAAAGCCCCTGCAGTAATACTGATCCATCAGTTTCGAAGGAATCATGTTCTATAAACGACCTGACAATAACTAAATATCAAGCTCGATAATGATGCAGGCTCTTTTGCTTGCATAGTTATCGAACTTCTATTCTTTTTTATTCTCTTATAATTGAGTCTGTTTCTGTACTCTTGCGTGACTAAAAGTCCTAGATGATCTGCACGGTATATCTTGTATGTCTGTGAAGTGTAATCATATAATGTACACTGCGAAGTGAAGTCATACCTTTTGAAGAAAAACTTAAAGCATATAAAGTGCTTAGCAGTAGCCCAAGTGGTGAGGGTGAGTGGAAATATGGGTTAGGATTAGGCTATGTCCGTCCATTGTAACCCAAAAAAATTAAATCGTGTGCCGACGTATGCACTGTTTTTCTCTGTCTCCGTCTAATGATGTTATCGTGACTTGTTCACAGAATGTAGTTCTCCCGGATTGCTTGAGAATGACGACGAATCTGTTTGACCTGCATTCCTTCCTAGCCAAAAACCAGGGCTTTTAGGCTGGGGCATTGTTGCATCTGGACTGCTCAGCATGAAAACCACAGATGACATTCGAGGCCTATCAACCACCTGCTCCTGGACGCATAAAGTGCCATTTATATATTTATATCTTTTATCTTTTAAACATAGTTATCTATGTGTTTAATTGGTCTGTAAAGTGTTTCGATAAGATTAATCAGCAAACGGGCGGACATTATACTTCAAAAAAGTCATGGTGCACTTTTCCTTTTTTAATAAAAAAAAAAAAAAAGCGTATCAATTAAGCACACCAAGAAACTACGAAAAACTTCTTGAAGCACAAGAAAAAAAAAAGCCACATTGCAAAAGTGCAATGTACGAAGACGGTTTTAAGAAAGGATGATACTTGAATCTTGTGCGATTACTGGGATTGCCTTTTTGCATGAAATGTATTTACGCGTGCTATTGAAGAAAGTTGAGGTTCTATCGTAAAATCAATTGGCAATATGAGGAATAGCCCAACTGACACGCCCCGATCCCGATGTCTAAAGGACAGTGGGATGGCCACGTGGTGGCTGACACCCAAAGGTGACGCAAGTCATTTAATGAATGCATATGCCGAGAACATGTGAAACATGCATATAAATTTTGTGCGAAATACACAAAGTAATATTCAAATACAAACCTTGCTAAAATAATATACTAATATTCTATCGTCAAAAAAGTGATAGTGATAATGCATGACATGTTCAGAGCATACATCTAATTAAGAATACAAGCGGAATGTGCTATTACAAGTGATGTCAAAGTAGAGAGGATGGCACGATGTCACTGGTAAGAAAAAGCCTCGTAGCTCTGACTGTATGCCTCGTTCCTATGTCCTGAGGGAGCGTAAAACAAACATGAGTGAACCAAATTGATATATAAATAGTACAAACATAATTATTCAACAACGTACTAACCCCTAAAGTTTATGAAAATTCATATAACATAATATGTAATAGGTGTTCTGAAAACCCTAGCATGCCATAAAACCTAGTGTGCTAAATAATGGTATCATGTATCAGTATCTCACGGCCGAAGTCACCAACCTATGCCTGGCCGAAGCCAATACAAGTATCTCTCGGCCAAAGCCACCAACCTACGCCCGACCAAAGCCAATATAAGTATCTATTGGCCGAAGCCACCAACCTATGCCTGGCTGAAGCCAATATAAGTATCATCGCCCGTAGGCAGAACATTGATCACTAGACAAACACAAAATCATTGAATATAATATTTCCAACATAAAAATATATATCTCAAAACATCTTCATAGTATATAGTCATCCATCATATATACTACAAAGAGTGTAAAACACATGTTCATAAATAGTATATAGTCATCCATCATATATACTACCATGAACATAAATTCGATAACGTATGGTATTCCAAAATATTCTTAGTAAAACATGATAATCATAAAGTGTAAATCTAATTTACTCATAAAACATAACAATTAAATCATGCTTTTCATGTATGCATTTCTACTATTAAAACATGCATTTTAGAAGGGGTCCACTCACATATACTCCGTCAGAAGGACGGAAATGCCCCTAAAAAACTCACCTAAGCACAAAAAGGGTCAAATTAATAAAACTATACTACAATGATTGAATTTGGGAAAACGGACATAAAAAAATATTCAGGATGTCGAATTACCCTAAGAAGGGTCCTAGGTAAATTTCGAAAAAGTCAATAAAAGTCAACACATGCTTGTTTGACCCGACCTAGAGGAATATTCCAACTGGATCGGGTCAAACGGGCCTGGGGTTTGGGTCAAACCGGTTCAATGGGCTGGGTCGGGGCTTAAAAGGTTTTGGGCTTGAGGCTACCGGGCCGGAGGCCCAAGGGCTTAGGTCCATAAGGTTTCTGGGGTGGATGGGTTTGGAAACTGGGTTGAGCCTAAGGCCTGGGTTAGGCTTGGCCTAAGGATTTGGGTTAGGTTGCAAGGTTTTGGGCTAGGTTCAAAGGATTTGGGTCAAGTTGACCCGTTTTCAAGCTAATGAATTGGCCGGTTTCTGGGTACCACTTCAAACGCCTATAACTTATTCGTTACTCAACCAAATCAAGTGTTCCAAATGAAAGTTGTAGTACTCGACAAGATGAAGAGATTGGTACCTTGCACGATGGCTAACTTACCGTGTTTTGGCCAAAAAACGCCTCGAAAGGGGCAGTGCTCGCCGAAAAATTTGGAAAAGCTAGTCTGAGCTATTTTTTGTGATTCACACGTAAACATAACTTAAAACAAGCTGTGATCTAACCCTAAAACACATCCCAAGAGTTTCTAGAAGCTTACCAATGTTGGAAAATTACGAAACACGTTGGGAAAGACGATGAATAGTGACACCATCATTGTGGGATTCCACGCGTGGGGTGTGGGGTTCTCGAGACCTCTACGTCTAGTGATGAGGTCTGGGGTTGTTGTTGTTGTTTGTGTGAGTAAAACTCAGAGGAGAGAGGGAGGGTTGACAAAGAGAGTGCACGGGGAGGGTGGAGGAAAAGAGAGGATGTGAGAAGTGAGGGAGAGAGAGAAAAGGTTATAAAATAATAAAGAAGGATAAGAAAATCCCAAAAAGGGAAAAGGGGATTCAGGTAAGGTGGGGGATAAGGGGACAAAAATCCCATGTAGGCCCCATGGTTGGTAAATTAATAATGTAAGGGACGAAACACAAAAATATCCGACAAAAAGTACGATAATTTGGGACGGAGTTTCACACCAACTACTTATAAACACATGCAAGCGTTCAGATCAGCATGTTCAAACTTTGTTGTTGCTTTGATGTTTCCTAATTTGGCAACTACAACAATCAAATAAACAATCAGAGTTTAAGATCCAATCTCAAAAGAGTAAGCTTGAAACTAGTAAATATGCTCAACTGCTACCCCTCTATATCATTATCTGTCTCTTACCCCCTCGGTTAGCTTGCAATCTGTGAAAAACGTACACTATGGCAACCAAGACATTGATAAAACAAATAGCCGAGAGGCTGGCAATTAACTTTGTTTGCTTTCCTTGACCTGAAAAGATGAATTTATAGTACGAAATGCATGAGACAGAAACTAAAGATACTGCATATTTAAGTTGTTGTGTGATCACTATTATAACTTACCAAATTTTGTGTGTCGGAGGCGAATAAAAATATCTTGTCCATTAGACGAAAACTCCTGAATATCTATTAGTTCGTTGGACCAGATCAACACCCGATGTTGTCAACATACGCGTAAGCCAGGCAAGTGCAATTACTTAGGCATTGTATCTTGCACTCTTCTCTATCCAAGAACAAAATTAATTCATGAAAATCTGGTAGTTTTACACTTGATATCCTTGAAAACCCGTCTTCATTTCCTCTCGAAGCAGTTGACTGACTTTTGTTACTTTCACAAAACAATTTGGCTTGCCTCACACACCCTCCTGCACTGTTTCCTCTGCTCCATTCCTCATGTGACTTCAGCACGAACCCTTTCAAACACTTGCAGATTGGAGATTCAGAAGATTTGCAAACCCCAAAAGGTCCACATGCTCCATACTTGTCACATGGATTCTTTGCCGCTGGGGCTGTTGAATAAGAAGAGTATCCAAGATAACTCTAATGATCCCAAGAAGAAGAAAATAGAGCACACTCTTAAAGAAAGCTCACAAAACAAACTAATTAGCAAAGCTTTTCTTGTTTAGCTCTAGGCTTTGTTTTTCCTTGGATGATGTACAATGCTTGGGGACTTGGGTATTTATAGCAAACCAAATGAAAGCTACACCACACACTTAATTAAACTAAGATTATTTACTACCACACAAAACCCATTAATTGCACCTAATTTTTTCCACTCAACCATACCTAACATTGCCTAACTTTGCAATTGTAAGCAATTACATCATCAAACTAGATATGGACTTGGACTTTAGATTGGGTTGTGGATTACTTATGGTTTTGGGCTGACATTGATTCTCAACACTCCCCCTCAATGTCAGCTCTCATTCTTTGCACTGTGCTGAGCAGACAGCGAAAATTTTCAAGCTTGCCTATACTTAAACTTTTTGTGAACAAGTCCGCAACTTGATCATTCGTCTTGACCTGTCTCATCTCAATATCTTCTTGTAGAACCTTTTCTCTGATAAAGTGGTAGTGCACTTCCACATGTTTAGTTCTTGCATGAAAGGCTGGATTTTCCGCCAAGCGAATGGCCGATTGGTTATCACAGTACAATGGTACTGGATAATCTACTGGTTGATGTAGATCACTCATCAACTGTACCAGCCATGCATTCTCTTGAACTGCCATTGCTGCTGCTCTATACTCTGCTTCTGTGGTTGACAAAGATACCGTTGGCTGTCTCTTGCTACACCAAGAGATGGTTCCAGAACCAAGCTTAAACACATACCCAGTTGTTGATCTCCTGGTGTCATGATCTCCCGCATAGTCAGCATCACAGTAACCAACTAACTTGCAGTCTTCACCTTTCTTGTACAAAAGACCATAGTCAATTGTACTCTTCACATATCTCAGTATTCGTCGAACTGCTTCCAAATGAGGCTTCTTTGGATTTTGCATGTACCGACTCATCACACCAACTGCATAAGAAATGTCAGGTCGAGTCAAGGTTAAGTAGATCAGACTACCTACCAATTGTCGATACATTGTCGCATCTTCCAAATCTTTTCCTTCATGTGCACACATTTTGGCGTTTGGTTCCATCGGTGTCAAAATTAGCTTGCATTCGAGCATTCCAAAATTCTT